GAAATGTAACCTATAAAACACCGAAAGGCAAGCTACACGTCTTCGGTGGTCGAGGCTCTGAAGATTAGCCTCAACGAGAGCGTCATTGCCTATGAGTCTCTTCGCACGGTGTTCCACCGAGTCCAGTGCATCCAGCTGATACCGAGCAGATCCGTCCCAAAGGTGACAACAGTACTCCAAGCAGGAGCGAACTTGGGCTCGGTAAAGGTTAAGGAGCTGCTCAGATGTAAAATATCGCCTGACCTTAGAAAGTATTCCAAGTTTTCTGGCAGCGGTTTTAGCAATGGACTCGATGTAGGGACCGAAATTGAGGCTGGATGAGATGTCCATACCCAAGAGCTCGAGATGGTCTTTAACCGGCACGGAGACATTTCGGAAAGTCGGAGTCAGATGGAATGGACTCCGTTTCGTCGAGAAGAGACAGGCCTGTGTTTTAGAGGGATTGAATCCAACCAAGTTGGCTTCACCCCAGAGGGAAACAGCTTCCAGGGTTGCATTCACTCCCTCCACCATCGCCTCCCTTAATGATCGGACATCTGCATTAGACTTTACATCAGGCAGATATCTCCCCGAAACTGTGCTGTCATCTGCATACCCAAAGATACCAGGAGTTAGGAGCAGATCATTGATGTGCAGCAAGAATAGAGTTGCGGAGAGGACAGATCCCTGGGGGACACCGGCATTAATACCAAGCAGATCCGACGATGTGCCATTAATGACCACTCGTATCGATCTGCCCCTCAGAAAATCTGCAATCCAGTTGCAAAGTCCGACAGCGATTCCATATGAAGGAAGCTTGCCAATGAGACTTGCATGCCAGACCCTGTCAAAAGCCTTAGAAATATCAAGAGAAACGGCGAGAGCTTCGCCGCGTTTCTCTATGGCTTCACTCCATAAGTGGGTAGCATACACAAGAAGATCCCCAGTAGATCGCCCACGGCGGAAACCGAATTGGCAGTCACTGAGGAGATCGTTATCTTCGAGGTAAGCGAGGAGACGGTTGTTCAATACACGCTCCATAATCTTACAGAGTATGGAGGTGATTGCAATAGGTCGATAGTTGGCAGGGTCGGCACGACTACCCTTTTTGGGCACTGGTTGGACATTGGCAAGCTTCCAGGTTTTCGGAACTTGGCCAATCTCAAGGGATAAGCGATATAGGCGAGTCAGAATAGGAGACAACTCAGGGGCACAATTCCGCAGGACAATAGCTGGAATGCCATCGGGCCCACTGGCTTTATTCACGTCTAGAGTGCTTAGCGTTTTTAGTACCTCTTTCTGATGGATGCGAACTTCCAACATGGCAGAAGAACACTGAGGAAGCTTAGGTGGGTTTACGCCAGCAGCATCTAGCTGTGAGTTATTCGCAAATATAGAGGCAAACAAGTCAGCCTTCTCTTTGGAGGTGTGAGCCAGCGATCCGTCAGGTTTAATTAAAGGCGGCAGCGACGACCGGCAAAAATTGGCTTCGACTGTTTTGGCTAGGGACCAGAAAGCCTTGCTTCCGGATGGAAAGGAGGCTAATTTGGCTCCTATACGGCCAATGTGATCGAAGCGGGCCTTGCGGAGAACACCTTTACAGGACTTGGCGGCACTGTTAAAGGCCTTCTTCAGACTTCGAACATTTGGTGATTTGCGGGCTCGAGCATCCGCCCAGGAGCGATACGCAAAATGCTTAAGCGCCTCCGCTTCAGCACAGTCCGCATCAAACCAAGGGCGGGCGCTAAACCGGCGTGGTACGTCAGAATATGGAATAAAGTACTCCATAGCCTGACGCACCACGTCAGCAATGGCATCCGCGCAGCAAGTCGGGTCGTCCGAAGAAAAGCAGGTGCGACGCCAAGGATAAGATGCAAAGAAATGCCGCATCTCATCCCAGTCTGCTGAACCATATCGCCAAACACGCCTAGTTCCGATAGGTTCCGGGTCGCTTGGAGAGTAGACTGATACGGACTTCACCAGACAGTGGTCGGAACTCCCTAGAGGAGACGAAATTACCACCTGGTAACGGTCCGGGTCTGTTGACAGCAGAAGGTCCAGGCAGTTTGGTGTGTGGCTATCAATATCGGGTACACGTGTAGCGCCCTTCACAAGCTGGGAGAGACCTAGCGACATAGCAAATGTGTGCGCTAATCTCCCGGCATGGTCGGTTTTCTGGAACGGGAACAACCACTCATGGTGGTGTGCGTTAAAGTCCCCCAGAACGACTAGCTGCGCACTCGGGTACCTTTGCTGGGCTGTTTCAGCGGAGGCGCTGAGGTACTGAAAAAACCTGGTTGTCTCTATGTTCTCTGTGTGCGACCGATAAACACTGGCATAGAGTATTTGCTCTATACCTGTGTTCACCAGCACCCATAATGTAGAGAAACTGGGATTCTCAAGGTTGCGGAGACGTTGGCAGCAGATGTCATCACGAGCATACACGCAGGTGCCAGCGCGCGATTTAAAATTGTGCTCCAGGATGTAACCTGGGTAATGCAAGTAAGCTGCGTCAGTCGGGCATCTTATTTGAGTCTCCGTGAGGAACAGCAGATGTGGTTTATCGGTCTCAAGGTGGTGATGGACACTATCGATATTTGAGTGCAATCCTCGGACGTTAGCAAGGTGCACTTTTAGTGCGAGGGAGTGCATCCGCTGTTTCACCAGTTTCTTTCTTTTGACTTTCATATATTTTTTTTTTTCATAAGTAGAGAGTGAACAGGCAGGAAGGGGACAGATGAGCGAGACTCTGCTAAGCTACTGCCAAGCGATGCTGTTATGACTCCACACTGATGGGTGACTGAGCTGGAGCGCGCGGGGACGCCCTAACCCCCCCAAAAGTGTCCATCGGGCCCTCGCATCCGGTCGCCAACCGGCACGATGGCGCACCTTGGGATTTTTCGCGAGTTGGCGGGGCAGCCTTTCGTAGGTGGCTTTCCTACTACTTGGGCCCCCTACTACCTGCGGTCGGCCAGCGGAGAACCGTGCTTAGGATCCCGCTACCCTCCGCGATCAGCCACCCAGCGCAGCAATCACGCAACACCGAAGCCGGCAAGCTGTACATCGCAACTGCTCGGACTCCCCCCCTAAAAACGGCAACACCAGGCATCGAGCCGAAACACGATGAAAGTCGTTTGGCGGCTCGGCTTTGCCTAGAGGGTGGTTACCAGCCACGGTCGAAACCTACCACCGGTGATGTGCCGAGCATTTGGCGCTACCCAGGGGACACGTGTGGGTATCTAGAGCTAAAGCCCACGGACGCGCTCGGCTTTATCCCCCAGTAAACTAATAATCGTCGGGCAAGTGCATATAAATTAATGTATGATGGTATGTTACTTAGGTTTAAATCGTGTTTTTGCGTAGTGTTCTTTTCTAGTAGTGTATTTGAAAGTCCATTATAAGTACTAACTGGGACAACGTATAACTATTTGCTTCTTCCATAAAAATGTGCTTTGTAATTAACTTAATATAAATTTGTCTTGGCTCTAGTACCGATCATTGTCAATCAAGTCATTATTTGGATATATATGTGGTATATTTGTTTCTTAGGTTTTCACGCACATCACTCATTAAATAAAACTAGTTTTTACGGGTTAATGCACGAAAACTTTATTTATTTATTGACGTTTCGCAGCCTTTTCAGGTCATTATTCTGACGATGCAGACCTGAAAAGGCTGCGGAACGTCAATAAATAAATAAAGTTTTCGTGCATTAACCCGTAAAAACTAGTTTTATATATATGTGGTATATTATATATTCTCCTACAGGTATTTTTATATGTAGAAACTTACTTTGTTAAGATAAAACGGTCACCTTACGAAGAGGAGGGTACTGGTGCACTGAGATACAAGCCTTCGCTTAGTTCAGGTACCAGTCTCTCGCTGGTCACAGATGACCTTTATAGCGTCACTGGGTTTGGGGACGGCGAGATCCTAAGGGGACCTCAAGCCGAGAATTAGCGAATGCCTCTAGAGGTATATCAGGCGGATGGCGTCTCCCCACGGGGGGTCTCATCTCCGTCTGAAGCCTCTAGACCACTTGAACCTGAGGGGGTCGGCTCAACTAAAGGGCGGCTCTGAGACTCGGACCTCGGCTCTAGTTAGCCGCTGTCGTGGGGGGTATAAACTAATTGAGCGTTGCCAAAGTATCACTTGCGCATTACCTACATTTTTTTTTGCCTAAACAGCAGGACACGGCATTCCTAAACTTTGTTAAACCAGTTTTTTATATAGTCATAATTTTTATTATATTAGCATTTGTAATGGAAAGTGACTTTATGAGTTACCATATTGAAGTCATTTTTCAATTTGACGACTCTGTATACAATACAGGGAGAAAAAAACAGCCCTTGCTGAGTTTCTTGCCGGTTCTTCTCAGTACAAGGTCTCCCGCCGTAGATTTGCGAACCGATGGCGTAGCTTTTCGACATTCACAGGTGCTTGTAACAGCCTAGACTGAATAAACGATATTGAATTTTGAATTTTTGAATTTTTACACTGACCCCCTACCCTGTTACATTACACATCACACTTATGTGAGAAATTTTGATTGTGTGTATGTATTGCAATCGCATACGGAGCCGAGACGTCGACATTGACGGTACGGCTGGTCCACAGGTTCAAAGTCTCAGCGCACTATTTAAAGGGATATGCTCGGCGTTTCTCTGAAGGATCGCATCAGGAATGAGGTAATCCGACAGAGAACCAGAGTTATCGACATAGCCCACCAGATTAGCAAGTTGAAGTGGCAGTGGGCTGGCCATATTTGCCGAAGAACCGATAACCGTTGGGGTAGACGAGTTTTGGAGTGGAGACCGCGTCTAGGCAAACGTAGTGTAGGATGTCCTCAGGCACGATGGAGTGACGATTTGCGCAAGGTGGCTGGCAGGAGCTGGATGCGAGTAGCCCAAGATCGATCTGAGTGGTGTGCATGTGGAGAGGCCTATGTCCAGCAGTGGACTAAGATAGGCTGTTGATGATGATGATGATTGCAATCGTATTTATGATTTTTTTTATTGCAGTGAGCGGCATAGTGTCATCTGGGAACTTAGTAGCGCTAATGGGATCCAGGTAAAAGCAATGCAACTTCTATCTTATCTTCCTATTTATTAATACCATAATATATTGTTAACAATAAATATGAGGAGCTCGATGGCGCAAGTGGTTAGCGCGTTCGGCTGCGATAGTTGAAGTTAAGCAACTTTCGCAGTGGTCGGTCATTGGATGGGTGACCAAAAATTTACTATCTCGAGCTCCTCCGTGCTTCGGAAGGCACGCTAAGCCATTGGTCCCGGCTGCATCTGCAGTCGTTAGCACCCACCAATCCGCACTGGGCTCGCGTGGTAGGTCATGGCCCAATCTCCCTATTCATTGGGTGGGGCATTAATAGGCTGATGATGATGATGATGATGATGAACAATAAATATAGGTAATAGTGTTTATGCTTACCAGCCATACAACATCTACTGTAAAGTTAAAAACCTATTAACTTATCACCCTGGAAAATTTTGCATTAAGTTATATAAAACCTGGGTAGATTTCCTACTCTAAGTGTTTTTGATGTACGCTGTTGCATTAATATCCAGCAATCTTAAAATCGTAAATGTTTAAATTTCGTTAGCTTGTTTAATTTAGTTTTTTACAATTTCAATGCATTTACGTCACGGCAATTTATTCATAAATTAGTGAACATTTAGAGGCAAATTTCTATGTAAATCGACTACATGTTTGCGAGACCCAATATAAGCAACCAACCTCTAGATATCAAATACTAGCTGACCCAGCGAACTTCGTATCGCCATAAAAATATGGGTGGTAGAGGGGTGAAAATAAGGGTTGTTTGTGTTTTAAATATTACGATACATATTTAACGTACCTAGTTTTTTTCTTCAGACGATTTAATAATTATTTTGAACACAAAATCGGTTATTGTGATTAAACCATGATAGCTAGATATATGTTCTCGCGGACTTTTTTGTAGGTCTTAATGGGATCTACAAACCCGTAGTACATCACTTTTTACTATTGTCAATAGTTTTTGCAGCGCACGCAAAAATAGGTTTTCGATTTTACACCTTGTGTTACAAAATAGCAATTTTATTACGGATCCCTAATTTTGAATAGCCTATTGATAATGGACCTTCTTCGATATATGGACTACCCAACACTGAAAGAATCATTCAAATCGGACCAGTAGTTCCAGAGATTAGCGTGTTCAAACAAACAAACTCTGCAGCTTTATAATATTAAAGTATAGATTATATTTCAAATGCCCAATAGAATTTCATATCTCTGCACTGCACCAGCGATGCTGTCAGTTTTCAAGCAAATGATATGAAACCGAAAAGCTTTCAGTAGGCTGACTAAATCATAAATTAACAAATGTTTCTGCGGATTTACTATAAAATTTACTGAATACTTTTTCCCTACTATGTACTTAACTTAAGATTCAAAATCTTATACTGGTAGGTACCTATATTAGAGCAAGGTAATTATTAAAAAATAAAATTCTACAATCAACTTAATTGAATCTATCTTAGATATCAGGCATCATGATACCTCAAACTAGTCTGACAATTAATTTACTTTGCATTCGGCTATCAGTGGTATAAAATATCATTTCAATTTGACTACAATGTGTCATTTACAAAATTCCTTACTTTTTCTTAATATGATTTCATTTATATTATTAAATTTCTAAGAAAAAATAAACAATAATTAACCTAGAAAATTTAACGATAAGAATTCGATAGAACAGTGGAATACCTGTTTGATTTGCGGTCAAAGTAGGTAAATTATCAAAACCAAGTTTTTATGACCACTAACTTTTTCCAAGCTTTCAACATCTGCAGTTTAAGTATTTGGTTCAGGTTTAATAAATGCCAACAGCGTTGTTGAAATATTATCAATCTTTTCGGCAAAGTGAAGTCTTAAAAATTTCAAAAAGGGAAACATAAAAAATAGTTTACAGCAGACATGAAAAAAATAATTCGTATGTGCAAAATTAAGCTAATCCCTCACACAGTAGTTACATTGTCTCATGATGTTGATGATAAATCAATCATTTACAGAAAAGTCATCATAGCGATACGAATATTGGTTAATCAACTAAAGCTATTGATAAAACAACAAATAACGATAAACTTACTCGTAGAGAAATAGCTAACAGTTTCAAACAAAAATATTACTAAGAGTGCTTAAAGAAAAGATTTCATTACTTTTATTTCATTAACACCTAATCCAATCCATTGTTTATTCAGAAAATTGAATGGCGCAACCGCTTAGAGTGGTTTCTGACATTAATTAAAATTTATTTCATATTCAAATGCTCGTGTCATTGTGATCTGATTAGCTTTTACAAAACACCTAAGTGTGAATTAAGTGGAACAGACTACATTGTAATAAAGTATCAGTGACAAACATTAAGCATTACAACAACCTAGCCAAGCGGCTCGAGGCTGCCTTTGGAAATAGTCACACTATTTATTGCTGCCATCTGACACCCCAGATTGTCTTTAACACCTGTATATGTAAACTTTAAACAGCAATTGAGATCCTGACGAAATTCATGATGTTAAGTCGAGCGTATCCAATCAAATAGATAGACCATTAGATCGGGATCCGGCCCCTTCCCAATAATCCTTAAATTAGATAACTACACTTCTCGAATTATATTGATTGTGTCTACAAAAAGTCTTACTTTTTTATAGTTTAATTCATCTAATAGAACATTATCTTACTGTTTTGTTACTGACTAATAACATTAAAGTAGAATTATTTCCATAATTTTAAAAAGAACCCAAGCTACCGCTTCTATAATCTATTCTGTACTTCTATAGTTCACTTTTTAGCAAAGCTAGCAATACGGACTGTACTGAGGTGCATCTACTAACCATCGCTATGTTGACTAATAGTTATTGCAAAGAACTGAATGATCGAGAATAAATTAACATCACAACTAAAACAGTGGAGCAGGCAAGACAACGCTGCTGGCTGCCATCAGCCGTCGCGACAAGAGCGCGATGACCGGCTACCTGATGCTGAACGGCAGACTGACGGGCGCCAACCTGATCGCCAAGATATCGGGCTTCGTACCGCAGCAAGACCTGGCTATAGAAGACTTGACAGTATCCGAACACATGGAGTTTATGGTAAGCTAAATTTCAGAAAAAGATTTCGTTATAACCTCGGTATTCTACAAGTTAGTATGTTGAGATAAGATTTTGAGATGACATCAGGCTTCGTGCCACAGCTGGATTTGGCCATAGAAGATTTGATCGTCGCCGAACACGTGGAGATTATTATGAAAGAAATTGTAGAATTGACTTTTAAGGAGACTGATGAGATACTAAAATACCTTCTAAGTGATTGTAGCCCTTTGATCTATAGAGTCTAATATCCATATCCAGTCTATGAGCATAAAGCTATTCTGTAAAAGATTCAGTGATTCAGTAAATAATCACAGAACGTGGTAATTTAATACAAATTAATGTGTCATACACGCTTTATTGTCACGGTATACTACAAGGATGTACGTTAGGTCCAGTTTCTTTTTTATATAAGATCTAATAATCCAGCCCATTAGGTCTGAGTAAATTCCAGCTTCCACAGATAGTTAATGTAGCAATGTTCAACTCCAATCTTTTTTTTTTGCAATGTTTCCTAAAATGTAGTTTTTCCAGTAAAGTGCTCCAATTCAAACTGGAATTGCGTTGTGCGCTACATCTGTTATTGCAAAAACTCATTTGTTCTAATATTTATCTAGGAAGAATTCAAAAGTAAACCATTTGGCTATGAGAACATCAAATTGTAAAGAACCTCTCTCTCTCTCAATAATATTGAGAAAATATATCAGAACTATAAATCGTATAATTTTATTCAATATTATGTAAATTTCATGATAGTAATGGATTCAAAATCGTTCTTTATTGTCGCATAAATAACTCATAATTTGCTATTATTATGATATTAATTAATATTGTGCAAAATGATAGGTTTTTGAAGACAGATTTTGAAGCTTTTATTGGGTGTGATTTTAATATATTACTTTATATTTTTATACGGTTATGTTATACGTAATTCATCCAATCGAAATATTAAAAATAAATATATTACAGAAAGACCACGAAATGAAATATATGTGTTTGTAACTTTCATGGTCGCTAACATTATAGTAATAAGCGAGATTGTTACCATGTACCTCGTTTATTATATTTTTTTATTTAAAGCAGTCAAATACTGCTAGATTTACAAATTTAAAGAAGTTTTACTAGAAAAACATCAGACTGAATTCGAACCTGCGCCTTCCGCCATCTGGGTGGAATTGTATGTTACCTAAAACGCGAAGAGATGGCTCGGCCTTGCAGCCTAAAAATGCTGGTAGAAATTGGACCCGGTCATTAAGGACTCTGCAGCAAAATTGGTCAGTGCGTCTGATCGGATTGCGAAAAGTGCAGTTTTGAATCTTATCTGATATCCGGAACACCTGATTTTTTTGTAGCAAAATTATCTTAAAATGTTCTTACCTAGTTTTTTGTGAGTTTCCACTAACATGAATATATGCCACTATCATGAAATAAAAGCTCAACATTTTGTATCTTATCCAAGGCTCGTCTCATGATGGATAAACGTTCTACCAAGAGCATCCGCTCCCGCCGCATCCAGCAGCTCCTGGGCGAGCTCGGTGTCGTGAACTGCTCCGTCACCAAGCTGAAGGCACTATCGGGCGGCGAGAGGAAGAGGGTCTCTCTCGCTGTACAGGTAATGATCTAAGTCATAGTCTACTCCTTATATGTGAAAAGGTGGCAAACAATTATAGCTGACCAGCCTGATGGTAGGCAGCCGTAGCCTAAAGTAATGAAATGATATGAAAAAAAGACAAAACCTTTATTGGCCATCTTACACAATAAAAAAAAACTATGAATAAAAACATAAAATAAAAGAGAAACTTAACCTAAAAACAAAAAATAATAACATAAAACTAAGACGGCCAATCAGGACTCTGTCTCAGCTTATGCTGACACACTGAGAGAATACTCTCTTGCTATACCAGAGTATCACTCACGCGATGCCTACCTTGTCCCCCCCTTTCTACTACCCTGTGGAGCCCAGGAACCTTACTTATCAACAGAAAAATAACGCAAAAAAAAGGTAGTGTTATTTCAAGATGGAGGTTCCTATTTATTTCTTAGGTTTTCACACACATCACTCTTTAAATAAAAAAAAAGTTTCAACGGGTTTTATTGATTTTATTTATTTGTTGGCGTTTTTGCATTCTTTGTAATAAATAAATAAAATCAGTGCATCTAACCCGTTAAAACTTGTTTTAATTCATGGAGGTTCCTTTCCTAAACGGGAGTTTTCGAGCGGAAATTCTACTATGCCAACTATGTCTCTTTTCTTGTGTGTCATAGACAACTAATACCTTTTTTTCTAGTTATATTTTCTTTAGATTTAAACATCAAGCAGTTACATGCTTTAAAATAATAAAAATTATAATTATAATTGCTATCTCTTGTTTCAACTGTTTAATACTTGTAAAAGTATTCATTTTACATTGTGGGTTGCCTATAATGCGAAGAGATGGCGCTGCCTTGCAGCTTAAGAATGGCTAGAAGAATTTCCGTTCCGTGAGGACCGCGGTAGCATAATTGGTCAGTGCATTCGCCCGGATTGCGAAGGGTGCGGGTTCGAGTCCCGTCCGCTGCCTGGTCCGCGTGGATTTTTCTTCTAGTAAACTTTTCTTTAGATTTAAACATCTAGCAGTTAAATGCTTAAAAATATAACTATATCCTTGTTTAGTTGTTGAATGACCCCCCGATCCTGTTCTGTGACGAGCCTACGACTGGCCTGGACAGTTGGGCCGCGGCGGCCGTGGTGGCGCGCCTGCGCAAGCTGGCGGCGGGCGGCAAGGTCGTCGTCTGCTCCGTACACCAGCCCGCCTCTGGGGTCTTCGAGCTGTTCCACAGGGTCGTGCTACTGGCCAACGGAAGGACTGCCTTCCATGGCACCATCGAAGAGGCCGATCAGTTCTTTGCGTCGTAAGTACTTAGTTTCAACTATCTATAACCATTTCAGACTGGACCTGACTGATCTGTGTATCTGGCTAGGAGCATCCGACAAGCTAGTTCTCTGTTCTATGCATCAGCCAGCGTCTAGGGTCTTCGAGCTGTTTTACAGGGTACTGGCCAATGGGAGGACAGCCTTCCAGGGTACCGTCTAAGAGGTCAATCAGTTCTATAAGTCGTGAGTACTTAGATTCAACTATCTATGTTCAATCTGATTCACACAGGTCCTATGCGATATTTTGAGTACAGCGAGTGGCTGCAGTCGACAAGTTGGTGATTTGCTCCGTGCACCCGCCAGCCAATCTCATACCGTAATATGGTACTACTTAGGACTGAAGCTGAAGCTGAAGCTAGCACTTTTTTTGCTAAAAAGAAGTCGGTGACAAAATTCTGTTGAAATCAAGACTTACTTTTGTCCGCGTTTTGGAATAAGGCGGTTAAGAGCTTGATAGCTTCATTAAACCAAATGCAGATAATGGTCTGATGCTTCTTACAGAAATCTAGCAACGAAATGCTACAATATTTTTAATCTATATATACTTATAATAAATCTGTAGAGATGTCAATTCTGTACATGAAATATATTTTTAAAATAACTATCAGGGGGTGATTAGTGATCGATACTGATGCCAAAAATGCAATCAGTAAAATTTTTGTCTGTCTGTCTGTCTGTCTGTGTGTATGTTCCTTATAGAAACAAAAACTACTCAACGGATTTTAACGAAACTTGGTACAATTATTCTTCATACTCCTGGGCAGGTTATAGTATACTTTTCATCACGCTACAATCAATAGCAGCAGAGTAGTGAAGGGAAATGTTGGGAAAACGGGAGAAGTTACTCCATTTTTTAAGCTTCCGTCGCGGGTGTAGCCTTAATGGTTAAAGTTACATAGAAATCATGTATGACGGAAATATTCTACATAAAATTGTCTAAAAAATATCCCGGAACAGTATATGTCTATCTTTTATGGTTGACTCACAATAACACGTGTAATTATATAAATAAAGTCATTCTTTATAGCACAAGCCTGAGAACAAAAACTATAGTTTACACTACAGCTCTACACCGAAGCGAAGCGAGGGCGGGCCACTAGTACAAAATAAATATGTGTATTTTTCTCACAGGTTGAACTTCAAATGTCCAGTGGGCTTCAACGCGGCTGAATACTACGTGTCCCTGCTAGGCATCCAGATAGACAAAGAGATGGAGAGTAGGGAGCGGATCAAACGCATCTGCGACGAGTACCAGCGCTCGGAGATAGCTGCCGACATCGAAAGCCGAGTCGGCGACGTCAAAGACGAAGTGGAGTACTTTAATGGCACCTCGGATAGTAAGGTAATTTATAACAATAAATTTTGCAGCATCCCAATTTATGACACGGCCATTAGGGCTGCGGTAACATAATTGGTCAGTGCATCCGCCTGGATAGCGGAGGGCGCGGTTTCTAGGCCCGTCGCTGCCTAGTCTGCGTGGACTTTATTCTAGTAAAATTTTCATAAAAAAATATCTTCTGTTACAGAACGAAATCTTCGATCGCTACTTAACTCTGTAAGTACCTATGCAATAATTCTAGTTTGCAGTGAATAAACACAATTTAAAACAAAGATAGTAAGTGTTTGTGGTCTGTTACAGAGTCAAAGTGAATTTCTTCGTCCAGTTTTACTGGTTGATGTGGAGAAACATACAGCAAATGAAACACAATAGCACAATATGGATAGCGGAATTTCTTCTACTAATGGTATGTTTTTGAAACTTTTTTGGGTGAATGCTAATCGTAATATTAAGATTATCAGTTGTTTTTTATACTGGAGAACCTTACACACGGATTCTAAAAGATCGTACTCAAGTCTTTTTTCCCACATTTATTCGTAAAGGACATTTTAAGATGCAGAGAATAACGGACAATAAAGTCTCCACAAATTAGATTTTGTATAACATTAATTCTCAAATCTTTCTTTTAACAGTTTGTAGGTCTAATAATCTCCATTCCCTACATGGGACATTTCGAGGAGCTCGACCAGCGCGACATCCAGAACGTGGAAGGTCTCCTGTACCTCACCATCACGGAGACCATATTCCTCTTCATCTACGCTGTGTTCATCACCTTCCCTAGCGAGGTGCCGATACTCTTGAGAGAGACGGCCAGCGGATTGTACTCGCCAGTGCCTTACTACTTTTCTAAAATGATATTTTGGGTAAGTTGATTATCTTAATTTCATTTCATTGAAATAACTGTACAATATCACAATTAAGCATGTAATTACCTCTTTTAACTTTCCAAAACTAAGTTAGTACTTAATCTCATTTGACTATTCGTTTTTGTTATAATGATATAACATCTTGCTACAAAAAATTGCAGATAATTTTTACAAAGTAGAAAATTCCAAAACTTTGGAGGTTCATTCAACTAAATTTGTATCTATTCGTATGAAGCGAATAAGTTTCTTTTTTACTTGTGGAGGAAAAAGGGACTGATATTTTGTTGTGATCTCCTCTACGTGTAAATTACTTTTCCAGACGGGTGCTCCAATTCTAATAGCAAACCGCCTACGCCTTACCTCCTTAGATACTTACCGCTCATTAAAAGTAATAATTCGAAACAAATTTATTTCTACAGCTTTCTAATAGTTTATTGTTATTTTATTTTATTCTGTAAATCCAATTTATTACTATTATATTATTATTTATAATTCGATAATCCATATATATAAAACTCAAAGGTGACTGACTGACATAGTGATCTATCAACGCACAGCCCAAACCACTGGACGGATCGGGCTGAAATTTGGCATGCAGTTAGATGTTATGATGTAGGCATCCGCTAAGAAAGGATTTTGACCAATTCTACCCCCAAGGGGATAAAATAGGGAATGAAAGTTTGTATGAAACTTTGACAATCAATTATAATGATCGGGCTGAGACTTTGCATGCAGGTATAAGAAGAATCATAGATGAATGTCATTGTGTATAATACAAGCCTGAGAACAAAAACTGTAGTCTACACTTCAGCTTTACACCGAAGCGAAGCGAGGGCGGGTCGCTAGTAATTATATAAAATAAATTATTGCTGTTATTTCAATTTGTATATCTACAGATACCCCGCGCGGTGATCGAACCAACACTGTTCGCGTCTCTGATATTCGGCGTGGCAGGTCTCCACGGCGGCTTCACGGGATGGCTGGGATTTTGCTTCGTCTGCATTCTCTGTGCCAATTACGCCAATGCTTATGGTAAGTCTGCCAATATTGTGATTGGCTAAAATGTACATATTTCTAAAAACCGTGACGTGGGTACATTAGATTTAACCCTACTCTCTTCCTTGGGGAACCTTAAAGTCTTAAGAGGTGCAGTTGATTCTAACCAATGCTTAAAATTTTACTATAACACATATTTTATTTTGTCCATACATATTTAGTTTTCATTTGCACGAAGCTTATGTATAATACATCTTCTCGTTATGTAAATATTAATTAATCATCATCATCATCAGCCTATTAATTTCCCACTGCTGGGGCACAGACCTTCCTATGGATGGAATAGGGAGATGACACACCACGCGGGCCCAGTGCAGATTAGTGGGTACTGACGATTGCAGAAGCAGCCGGGACCAACGGCTTATCGTGCCTTCCGAAGCACGAAGAAGCTCGAGATAGTAAATTTTTAGTCACCCATCTAATGACCGACCACTGCGCAAGTTGCTTAACTTCAACGATCGCAGTCGAATGCGCTAACCCCTGTGCCATCGAGCTCCTCCTCAAGAATAAATTAGAAAAATCACACATTAACTTAATTGGCAATTATCTCAAAATTTCAGGCTCTGTTTTATCAGCGTCATTCGACAGTATGGAGACCGCTGCCCTAGTGTCGGTCCCCGTCGACTTGATCGGTACCATGTTTTCCGGTATCTACCTGAACTTGGCCAGTGCTTCTAAATACTTCGCGTGGCTACGCTTCATCTCAGGATTTTATTACGGTGTCGAATCCATCTCGATTCTTCAGTGGGACTCGATCGAGTCCATAACTTGTGTAAATATTCCAGGAGTGCCTTGCATTAAGACCGGCTCCGAAGTTTTGAGCCGATTCGGTTATGAAGAATGGCATTTCTGGAGGAACTGCGTTTGTTTAGGAATCATGTATTTTGTATATCATTTTATTGCGCTTATCATGGTCATAAAAAGAAGCAGAGGTACGCCTGTATATTAATGAATACTTACATTAATTTATAATCCAATTTCGGAATATTTGAATTTGACATTTTATACGAGTATTTTACACTCGATAAGATAGTTTTAATGACAAATGTTTTATATTTGTCTTAGAAGATTTTTAACGATAGAATCTGAATTGTTCGTTTATTTAAATGACAGTTAACCAACTGGTAATACGTACTTGATCATAATTTTATAGTTTTGTAATGTTAAATATTTATATCCATAATTTGTATACTTATTTCCATTTTGTTCAACATCCAATAATTATTTACTCATTGACTGAAAGTAAACGTTATGGTTTTATACATTATTTACCTATCTATTTCAGTTTTCACAAAAACTTTTGATAATATTTAATTAAGTTAAAATAATCTCTACTTATTCTAAAAGATCTTTTACATTTTTGTTCACTTAGGACGTAAGTAAGATCTGTAATTTATATCGCAAAGTTATTAAATGTTTTACATTTTAATAGTATTTTCCTTTTGCACTTTAATACCTATCCTTAACTAATTTTGCAATAGTTCTAACATTGCAAATATTTTTTAAGCTTGCTGTATGTAAAAGCTTTTCAACTAACCTTTTGTCCATATATCTTTCACAAGTTGTGACAATAAGAAAGATAGATAGATAAGGCTATTGTAAAGTTGTACAATTACAAAAATTAAAATTTATATAGATAGTATTTATTCTCGAAAGAAAACTAATGAGTTGAACTTATTAAAATACCTCCTGGCTCCCAACATCATAGAGTAATCAAAGAACAAGCCAAAGAAGACACAGTTGTACACAGAACATCTTCTCTTTTTGGGAGCCGTTCCAAAAAAAGGGAATCAAAAACCACTGTTTGGCATGTCTGTTAAATAAAGAGAATGCAATGCCCCAATCTTTTGAACTCTCTATGTATTCTACTAAATACATATATATTATATATACAGGATGTCACAGAATTCCGAAATAAAATTTGTAGGTATGTATTCCGAAATAGAAAGGACATCGACGAAATCGGCCCTAGCATGCCCAAAAGAATGTCCTTCACTATTATCTTGCTATTATTTTTTTAACATATTAGCAATTAATCATAGTAAACGGACAATCTGTTTAAAAAAATAAAAAAATAAAGTTCTGTTACTAGATACTACAGTCTATTCATCCAACTTGGCACTCCTTTTTATTGAAAAAACAGCATTAAAAATCAACTGATAACTGGATTCAAAAGGTTTCAGTCTATAATAACGATTTATTTTAATAGTTTATTGGCTTCGTTAATATTTTATTATTAAATGGGTGATTCTGTTAAAAAGTTGTGCCAAGATTGTTTACTTTAATAAATGCATTAGAGGCGACCATAGGTATTTATCAAAAGAAAAATAGAGAAACCTTAGTTAATAATACTTATTACTAGTATTATATTTATAAAAAGATTATTTCTGAAATTATGTAAAGATAGTTTATACTCCCATCCCATGTAATATCTGTTTATTTTTATGAAAATCATAATGATAATCAGGTACATACCTAATTACCGATAGTAAAGTATAGAAACAGGTAAATGGAAAGACTGAACATTTCATTTGAAAAGAAATCTATTATTACTACAGGTAAGGTATAGGTATCGTAGGTGCCAACTGATAACACTCATTAATCAATATGAATATAAGCATATATTATTTTTATTATTAATTGCATTTTATGTTCATTTAATGCATATTATTTAAGTGCTTACATAGAGGTAAACACTAAATCTATTCAGAATATATAAAGTGTACATCTTTTACGATTAAGTATAATAATTATAACCTCAAATTCAAATACATTCTGTAGTAGGCCACGGTTCCTCAAGTTGTCCGTATCTCAACAAATGCCTAATTAGAGTTTATGAATGATTCCGAACACAACTAGCATTTTCTCATTGCTGGGCGTTCTAGGGCATTCAATGTATGGGGAACGAGCAATGTCCTTTGTAGGCGTAGGGGTTGTTATAGGCAGGTGTAAAACGATATTTTTATTAATTTAATTAGGAAATAAAAGTGGTCTGAAAGGCGTCAAACTTTCGTAGGTAATTCTATACAAGGAACACAACCAAACCCTAAAGTTTTATTTCGGACTTTTGTCACATCTTGTATAGTGTAACATATTATATATTAACTAAAAAACTACACCCCGTTTTTCATTTTGGTTATTCCAGGTTCGTTCCTCTCAGCGGTTTTCGACAAACTGGAGACAGCCGCGCTTATATCGGTACCATTCGACCTGATTGGTATCATGTTTTCCGGCATCTACCTCAACTTGGCGAGCGCCTCACCCTATTTCTCGTGGCTCCGATTCATTTCCGGTTTTTATTACGGAGTCGAATGCATCTCCATTCTGCAGTGGACTTCTATAAGCACAATAAAATGTGACGACCCATTCGAGAGACCTTGTATAACAACAGGCTCCGCTGTCCTAGATAGGTTTGGCTATAACGTCAACAATTTTCTGAGGAACTGCCTATGTTTGGGCCTGATGTATGTAGTAATGAACACTGTAGCGTTTCTGATGGTCATCAGGAGAAGTAAGCAGACCCCAATTTATTAAGTATTGAACATTGTGTCTCAGAATAGCTCTAAGCTCGTTATAAATTGCTGTTCCGTATAAACAATATAATTATATATATAGCAAATAAAGAAAGAAAAACTTCAATTTTAATTATTCAATGATATTAAATGTCCAAAAGGTACATTAGAAGATCCACAGAGCTCCGTAAGATGATCGCATTGTCAAAAACAATATAAGGCATTTTTTAAACATTTAAAGTCACCTTTAATGTATACTGTATAAAGTCTTAATTAAAATGCATGCATCAAAGAGTTAGGACAGTTTGAAATGCAAGCTCGTAAAATGTTACAACTTATTGCCATATGCGGAATAAAGAATATATACCTTATTTCTTTGACTCTACGCGTTATTCTGAATGCGCTGTTAGCAATATAGCAGGTACGGACCGCGAGGAGAAGAGACGGCTATAATACTGACCATAAATCTGAATATCATTTCTATGAAAACAGTTTAGAGTAAATATTAGATACCTGACGAAAAAACGACAGTTTACGTACCATAAGTAATTTTGTCGCATTTTTTTAAGGAGTCTTGACTTTTTAACGGTCCGCGCGTGACTGTGAACCAAGAAGTGCTTAAGAGGTGATGAAGTACTTCTTGTTTGGGACACATTTTGAGCGCACGTTGTGTATCTAGGGTATTTAATAAAATTGTATTCATTAAATATTCTGGTCCAAAGCAATTGAACAGCTAACGATCAAATGGTATTGAATAGCTAATCTAATTTACGTGAAATTTATAGAATACAAATTTTAAATATTACTACCTTTTGTTTCTGTTAATAAGATAAATCCGTTTTAAATAATTTTTATGATTTTTTAACAAAAAAATAATACAACACGGTCAATGTTACAGACAGAACTCGAACCTCCGTCTTCCGCGATCCGGGCGGAAACACTAACTGTTATACTACCCTAATGATCGTGTCGAATTTCTTATAGTATTTCATAGGCTGCAAGGCAAAAGGCCTTTTTAAGTATTAGGATTAAAAATATTTTTGAACTTTTTATTGCTTTAAATTCGTTTTAGTAGATGGTATATATTCAATATTTTTAGGCAAGATGAAATATTGATTTTCATAAAATTTACCCGTACATAAATAGTTATGTTCAAATTTCCTTGTTTTATTTCATCGAAAGTTGTGAAGAGCTCGGTGGCGCGTGTGGTTAGCGCGTTCGGCTGCGATCGTTGAAGTTAAGCAACTTTCGCAGTGGTCGGTCATTGGATGGGTGACCAAAAATCTTCTATCTCGAGTTCCTCCGTGCTACGGAAGGCACGTTAAGCCGTTGGTCCCGGCTGCATCTGCAGTCGTTAGCACCCGCCAATCCGCACTAGGCCCACGTGGTAGGTCACGGCCCCATCTCCCTATTCCATCCGTAGGGAAGGCCTGTGCCACAGCAGTGGGGACATTAATAGGCTAATGATGATGATGATTTCATCGAATCTATTAAAAAACGCGGGGCCTATACCTTCTACCGATTATGATTAATAATAATAATTTTTATTCATGCCAAACGATTAAAACATTTAATGCCATCACCCACAAAAGATATGTTAGTGAAATAGAGATGTCGACCATTGCGATTTATAATATGTTTTCTGATTAATTAAGCAACACAGATTTTGATTAAATGAAAGCACTTCAATTAAGTTTAGAGGAATAAAACAATTTATTGAACGCAACAATTTTATTTGATAATTTTAATTCCTATAAATAAATTAGTTAATACGCGTAACCTTTCTTCTCTTCTCGTTTTAAGCCGTAGTAAGCTAAGATGCTCCAGAAGACAGTCACGCCTAGCATTCCCAAGGAATCCTGAAGGATGAAATTCGTGGAGTAGCCAGCTTCCACCAGCACTGAAGCACCATCGTTGAAGCAAACCGAAGTAGAATTTGTCGGACAATCTGCGAACAACAATAAATAAATATTTCCAACACTCACACCAATGAGGGCTATCGCGTATGAATCCGCCGCTAGAGGCGCTAGTGTAGCGTGAGGTCTCCGAAATGTCAAATGTTATTGCTTGTTGGTTGACTACGCGGGTTTATTTCTTATTAAAATAATGTTGTCAATAATTGGTAACGATTCGGCTTAATTATGGCAAATATGAGTTATGTGGCAATGAATGTCAGTTATTAAAAATTTGAGCTTAGAAAAATGATTATGTTCCCATTTTTTCCGAATAAAACGGAACTGCGCGTCACTGTGGCATGGCCTATTATGTTTAGGATATGGTTCTTTTGTGTTAAAATACGATCTAAATGTAACCTTTGATTTCATGTGCGTATTAATAAACTTTAAAAGTTACAATTTAGGACCTCACTCAACAGTGGCGCCATCTGGTGAGGCAGAAAACGGTAGCCCTCATTAGCCTCGCCCCAAAGTAAGCACTGTAAGGCTTGTGTTATGGGATACAAGGGTAACGGATAGAATACATATACTGTACATAAATAAGTATATTTATATAGAAATACATATTTAAAATCCATGCCTGGAGTACAAATGCTCGTATTTTTCACACAAACATCTGCCCCCGCCGGGATTCGAACCCGAGACCTCTCGAGTCGGCGATACCATGAAACCCGGCGTACAAACCACTCGGCCACGGAGGTCATCAAAATAATAAATTAATTCAAAATATTGCTTACACCACTTGGCTTAGAACCAAAATGACTAATGTAAGTTTTATATTTTAAGTAACCAGGGTAATGGAAAGAAATACAGAATAATATGACGATTCAGGAGGAGCTCGATAGCGCAGGTGGTTAGCGCGTTCGGCTGCGATCGTTGAAGTTAAGCAACTTTCGCAGTGGTCGGTCATTGGATGGGTGACCAAAACTTCTTTCTTGTGTTCCTCCGTGCTTCAGAAGGCACGTTAAGTCAAATAAGGGCTGGGTTTCAGACAGGACGGGAATTTAACAATTCCTTCTATTACAATAAAAAATATACTACTAAAACGACAGCACTACCAATGTGTCCAATCTGCCGCCAATAGATATTGCTAACAGCGTCCATGGCGTAGTAGAAATGCGACAGGAACCTCAGCGGTTGCAGCCAGAAGGGGAGAGATGATACCCTCAGGAAAGCCCCTGACATGAGGAACAGGGGAAGATCAGCACACGGCATCACGTCACCCATGGCACCCGTAGAAGTGAACAGTGCACCCATACCCAAACCTTTTGGTGGAAAACATATCTGATAAAATATATATAGTACTTAAAGGAGTTCGATGGCGCAGGTGGCTAGCGCGTTCGGCTGCGATCGTTGAAGTTAAGCAACTTTCGCAATGGTCGGTCATTGGATGGGTGACCAAAAATTTATTATCTCGAGCTCCTCCTGCTTCGGAAGGCACGCTAAGCCGTTGGTCCCGGCTGCATCTGCAGTCGTTAGCACCCATCAATAGCGGGCCCGCGCGGTGTGTCATGGCCCAATCTCCCTATTCCATTCATAGAAAAGGTCCTGTGTCCCAGCAGTGGGAATATTTATAGACTGATGATGAAAGGGCATAACGGACTTTCAGCTGAAATTATTCCGAAGTCACCTCAGCAAAATAACACAACTTTTTGATGGTGAGTAATGCTCCAGGATTCTACGGAATAGGGGATGGAGTTCAGGCCAGCAAGGTGAAGATGGTTCATCATTCAGGAATAGGGAGATTGGGACATGAACCACCACGCGGGCTCAGTGAGGATTGGCGGGTGCTAACGACTGCAGATGCAGCCGGGACCAACGGCTTAACGTGCCTTCCAAAGCACGGAAGAACTCGAGATAGAAGATTTTTGGTCACCCATCGAATCACCGACCACTTCGAAAGTTGCTTAACTTCAACGATCGCAGTCGAACGCGCTAACCACCTGCACAATCGAGCTCCTGAAAAGAATCGAAGATGGTGGAAAAGGTGTATTTTACTTAAATGAGCGTAACTACGTACCACTTACGCTAACGTTAAGCATCAGAGGCCCAACATTTTTGATAGCTCCGTAAAGTATCGAAATCGTCTAATTATCTATGGAAAAAGCTAGTTTGTTCTTAAGTCCGATAGAGGCGCTGCTTTCTTTTCATAGAAACTTTGACGATGCGATACTTTACGGAGCTGTCAAAATCTCCTGCTTGGTTCTCAGATAGAATAAGGTAATTTAATATAAATAAAACTAGTTTTTACGGGTTAATGCACGAAACTTTATTTATTTATTGACGTTTCGTAGCCTTTACAGGCTACGTCGTCACAATCAAACTTTTATTTAATTTGTTGAGCTACCTTCGAAAGACTTTTATTGAGCGTTCGGTTATTTCATTGTTCGATTTTTAAAGTTTTATTGTCTATGTATGATTTTATTATTTAATTTACGTATTTTATTTAAAATTCTTTTTTGTAATTTTGAGTTTATTTAAAGGCTACGAAAAGTCAATAAATAAATAAAGTTTCGTGCATTAACCCGTAAAAACTAGTTTTATTTAATGAGTGATGTGCGTGAAAACCTAAGAAACAAGTAATTTAATATACTATAGAAAAATACACCTTTCCAATACTTTGTCTTCCTCTTTGCATTATATGTCCAATGTGAAAGTCCGTAACCTCCAACAGATGGTAGACCGGCAAACATAATGTTATAAGAATAGGGTATTTGACAAATTTTAGAAAACGATCTCACGCTTATAATATTTATGGTATGTGTATTGTATTGTATATAATGTGTATATTGTTGTGTATTTCAGTAAAAATAACCAAATCAAAAACTCCATTTTCAAGTTGCCGCGAAAACGTTTCTCTGGACAATATGAAGTCTCACTGGTGTGTGACGTCATACGACTATTATTTAAACGTCAAACGATACAATGTAATGTCACTTTAACCGGAAGTTTATTAGCGTGTGACGTCATTAAAGGCTCCGCCAATCCCAAGCGTTTTGGGTCACGTGACAATAGATAAGAAAATTATTGTCTTTTCCGTGGGTTTTTATTAAAATTATGAATATTTTTTTGTGTAAAAATAGTGAAAATCCCTGCCAATATTCTTTCTAAACACAGATGCTAACAATTGGCACCTAATAATATAATTGCTATTTCTTCTTTCAAATGTTTAATAATTGAGATAGTATTCATTTGACATTGTGGGTTACCTACAATGCGAAGAGATGGCGCTGCCTTGCAGCTTAAGGCTAGGAAAATTTCGACGCGGCGAATAGGGCGGTGGTAGCATAATAGTCAGTGCATTCGCCCGGATTGCGAAGGGTGCGGGTTCGAGTCCCGTCCGCTGCGTGGTCCGCGTGGATTTTTTTCTAGTAAACTTTCTTAAGATTTCAATATCTAGCAGTTAAATGCTTAAAAATAAATAAAAACATAATTGGCACTTAATTTTTAATACTGTCAAATAAATACCCTATTCCAAAATTACCATACGCCGATGCAGCGACAGCGGCGAATGAGAGCGTAACGAAGAACTTGGTAGCAGTCAGCGCGTGCTGCGGCAGCTGCACTGCTAGCGTCATGAGCAACACCAGGACCAGCGGCCACGCCACGCAGCGTGGAACCTGGGACAAACAACAGCACTCCCAGCGTGCGATTCCAACTTTATTATTTCAATTGTCATTTCTTTCAGAGACTATTAGGTACATTCCGCTATTAGAAAAATAGAAAGAAAAATAAATTTATTTGAGACAACACACACACACACAACAAACAGAACAAAACACATATTCTTTTTTTGTCTCAAATCGGTCCCAACTCAGTATGTGTTGATTACAATTTACAGTAACAATAGTGAAGTTAACCGCGAGCGCAAACTATGTGCAGATTTCAGTTCAGTGACACTGCGACCGCGCCTACTCAGAAATCAGAAATCAATATATCATTATTCAAATTGGATGTATAGTACAACTCTTTTGAATCGTCCAAATTTTTTCCCCTACCACACGTTATGGACATATTGTTTAACTGCGGAGAAAAACGAGCAAAAAAACCTCCACAACATTAAAAGTCTAATGTAACAACATTTACAAATCTTTATGTTGTTACAACGAACGTCAATACAATTATAATTTATTGAATATAGAAAACCTGTTGGAATGATTGGAACAGTTCAAATCCAAGCTTTTTTGTCTGTAATATATTACGAGACACTTTGTAATAAGCTTTTTTAATAAGCGCTTTTTTATATTATCTTTAAATGTATTTATGGTTAACTCTTGGATATTGCTTGGGACTTTATTGTATATATATTGCATATTGGAAACACAAAGACCATGAATTATTAATTTTGTGAAGCCTAGTAGCAGGTAAAGTTAGTTTATTTTTGTTTCTTGTATTAAGTGTGTGAACATCACTGTTTTTAAGAAACAAATTAATATTTTTTCTTACAAGTAATATTTTTTTTTATATGTATTGTGATTATTCCAAATTCTTTAAACTTATCTCTTAACGATTCTTTAACTTTAAGATTATAAATTAATCAAGTAGCTCTCTTCTGCAGCACAAAAATAGTTTGAATGTCGGCGGCGTTTCCCCACAATAAAATTCCGTACGACATTACACTATGGAAATTACTAAAGTACCTACACTAATCTGGCCGTATCTACATCTGTTAACTGGCGTATCTTCATTACGGCATATGCTGCAGAGCTAAGTCTATTTGACAATTTATCAATATTTGGGCCCCATTGAAGCTTACAATCTAAAGTTATCCCTAAGAATACTGTGGTGTCGCTATCCTGCACTTAAACGCGTCCCTGATGCATTGTAAAACCACGTTAAAATTGCTCAATAACATTATACTATTATACTAAGGCAGCGTTCCCACCTGTTGTAGATATTTCACCCCGACCCACGAAACGATTCGCTTTATCATCTTTAATACTACCCGCTAGTAGAAATCTTTGCCTGCATCAACCTTTCTAGAACAACTAGTAAGTAGAATTTGGCTATCTATCTTCAAGGCAAAAGCGCTGCACATACATTTAGTACATATCGACGTTATCAAGCACATATTCATACCAAATCAGAAAAAGTTAAACATCTCTTTAAAATAGGTGTCGCTGACAGTCATGGTGTCATGCCTGTATGGAGGACGAGGAGACGAGCAATCACGTCCTGCTACAGTGCAGAGGCTTGACCAGATAACGGATGATACACCTGGGCAGCTCGCAGACGCTGCTTGAGGCCTGTCACCAAGAGACTGCTGAGCTTCTTGGGGGAGCTAGGATGGCATGACTAAAGCCATCCACTCACGCAAATTAGGCACCTTTTTTTTTATAACGCAGGTTAAAAGTCTTTTTACTGACGACGGCGCCTTTAAGAGGCACACCGCCGAACGGACCTCACACCCTGCACCCGCTACTCTTACAGCATAATATCCGCTAAAAAAAGTCCTGCGAATACCTTCTACACTGCTTAATGCGAAGCCGCAGGGTCCCCGTTAGGGATTCTACCACGGTCGCAAATTAGGCACCTGGCATTGAGTTTCGGAGAACACCCACAGTATGTAACAGGAAGAAATCAAAATTTTATCCACAATTGAAGCATCCTTCTACCATTTTAAATATACTTACGTATCCCAAAAGCCTAGCGACGTAGTACGACGAGCAGCTATACGTGCCGACTTCCCGCTTGAACAGCGACAGGTCCTCCTCGAACGCAAAGAGGGCGCTGTAGGCTAAGGCGAAGCACACCTCACTCGTCATCAGCCACAGTAGACCGCGGAGGTCTTGCACGCCGCGCTGGCTCGTGCCAGAGATGCCGACGTAGCACGTGCCGATCACGAGAGAAGTGACTACCTGGGTGGTAAACGATGAGTCTATAGGTATCATCAATCAATTCGATAAGTCTTAGGCGCTTTGCAGACGGCGGAGCGGAGCGGGCCGGTCAATTTCGCCGCGAACGATAGCACAAAGTGAATCCTATACTACAAACGCACACAGAGGGCAAAAAGACCGCGCCGCAGGTGCCCGGCGGGCAGTGGCGGCGCGGCATGTCCGCGGCTGCCCGCCGTGGATCATACAAACCAGTTTATATGCAGTAACGCAGACGGCGGCGCGGGGCGGCTAGCTCAGTCCGCGCCACGCGTTTTTAGTGATGGACTATTCACTAGAACGAACGTCCTGAACTGACTGCCTCTGCCCGTCGTGTGCTTTGTGTACGCGGCACGGGCAGACGCGGTCTTTATTGCTTCGCGGACAAAAAGCCCGCCCCGCCCCGTCGGTCGTCTGCAAAGCGCCTTAAGATCAGATCGCGCTAGACTGAAGCAACACACACTGCATATGAAACAATATTTCTACCTTGCCTCTGGCTGAAAACCAGCGTCAAGATTATATTGTTATTATGTTGTTTTTTTTTATGGTCACTAACATTATATTTGTTGAACGCGATTGTTACCATGTTCCTTGTTTTTTATGAGGCTCTAATATTTCGGCACTGTTGCAAGCGCCGTGATCATGGCGCTTGCAACTACAGCGTCAAGATATTCTGTGCCATGGCATGTGCTGAGCTGGAGATGTTCTTGCCTCTGCAACACCATTTTTTTGTAGTTGATGCTTAAAGTATAATATCATTCCATTCATTTCATTTACTAATCATAATAAATATCAATGCAGTGTGCACTGATACAAGTTGTTTTCAAAATACTTACAACATTTACGAACAGTTGAAATAATTGCCCTTTTAAATCTCTGCTGAATGTTAGTGATGATCGCCATAGTAAAAGCTGGACTTGTTTAAACCAATTTCGCCTGTAACTGATGACAAAAATATTCCTTAACTTTCTCTTCAAAATAGTAGAAGAGCCCAAGCAGGGGTTTTTGGATTTACTTGAGCGCGGAAGAATGACATAAGTAAGGCCGAACGCCTAGCAAAATTTTTTTTCAACTAAATTTGAATCGCGTCCAAATCATCAACCTTTTAAATAGAAGCTACTGGAAGGTTCACGTAACGTTCCTGAGAACGATAGAAAAAAAATGATCTTTGCATGGTGTGGGACTGGCCGCACTGGCCTGGCTAAGGGGTAGAATATAGGGGAAAAAATATTCACGCGCGTCAGAAATTGAAAACGGATGTTACGTGAACCCACGTCCAAATCCAGACGATTTGGACGCGGCCTAAAGTCATGGCAGTTTGTTGTTTTTTTTTTTTACTATCCTAGACGTCCGGCTCTACATAGAAGTCTCAGGTATGGTGGGAGAACTACACAGGGTGCAAGGTTGCTTTTGTTATTTTATTCTGCCACGCTCGAGTAAATCCAAAAATCCCCGCTTCTATAATTTGACTATTGCATTTTGATCAAGAATTGCAATATTGAGATAAGCAGAGTATCGGCAAAAATTTTCTTCTGTAGTATTATATATATTGAACATTACGTAAGGGTTACCCCACAAACATTGTGTCTTTGTATGTTAACGGCCTAACCCGATATTCTTATTTCGGGCAACTGCATGTAGACATTTAAAGAAATTTTTACTAGAAAAAACATCTACTTTCTCCAGGTTTCAGACGGGATTCGAACCTGCATCTTTTGCTATCCGGGTGGTGGCGCTAACCAATAAATACTCGCTTCACCCGAATAGCACAAGATGAGAGTGCGCCTGACACCTGGATCGGATCAATTTTTTCTAGTAAAATTTTCGTTTTTATTTAAACATCTAGCAGCTAAGTGCTTAAAACAAAAATATAATAATATTCAATTGCATGTAATTTCTTAGGACTTAGAGTTCTGTAATCTCAAAGTAAATATTAAAGACTTACACTGGTTTCCTTGCCGGGAACTCATTTGGCGTATCGCATAAAGGTTGGTACGTGGCTTCCATCTTACCAGTCAGCTCAGGACTGAGGCGGGACACTTCGCGAATGTAGAACTCAGCTGGATTGTAGTTTTTGGGACAATAAAGATTTAAACTGAAAATGAAAGTTACTTGAAACTTTGGTTGACTCCGACAGACCTTAACTTAATCGACTTGAGTTATAGACTATCTCTGTCGGATTTTTTTAACGAAGATTAATAATAATAATAATTTATTTATTTCTCTCCACAAACATCAAACGGATCATAGTAAACATAGGTTATTAATATAAATACATTAACGTGTCTGTGGGAGACTGGAGTCTAAACTAGGCAGTAGTCTACCTGTATTTCAGAGCTCCAGGCCTCCAACCCTCAATACAATTTTAAAACACTCCATAAAAAACCTAATAGGTATATGTATATTTTTATTTATGGTAGAAACAAATTTAAAACAGAAATCATAAAACTGTGCATGTGTGTGTGATAGTGTGTTTATGTTTGTGTGTGTGTGTATGTGTTTGCGTGTGTGTGTTTGTGCGTTTTTAACTTACTTACTTTACTTTAACTTACAAAAAGTTTTTCAAATTCATCATATGATTTGCTGAGGAGCCATTGTGTTATTATCTTTTTAATTTCATATTTACTTTTGGGATATATATTAATTTTTTTATTTGCACAATTGTATAATTTTTTCCCTATCATGTAAAAAAATCTATTAGCAAACAAGGTGCGTGAACTTTCAACTATACATACATTTAAGTGTCTTCTGGATGTTGTGGTAATTTCAATCATCATTAACCAATACTTTAATAATTGTAATAATATTCAGAAAAAGAGTTGTCAAATGTGTATTATGCGTCCGATTTGACTAAAGATACATAATTACATTTTGATACACGTTGGTACGGGTTGGATAAGCCATTAGGGTCAAAGAACTCAACCATATAAAAAACGGCAGTTTGGATAACTAACTATACCAATACTACGAACACGACCAAATGAGATAGTTTATTCTACCTATTTAGAGTAAATTTTATAACTTGAAGGAGGTCGATGGCGCAAGTGGTTAGCGCGTTCGGCTGCGATCGTTGAAGTTAAGCAACCTTCGCAGTGGTCGGTCATTGGATGGGTGACCCAAAAATATTTACTATCTCGAGCTCCTCCGTGCTTCGGCAGGCACGTTAAGCCGTTGGTCCTGGCTGCATCTGCAGTCGTTAGCACCCACCAATCCGCACTGAGCCCGCGTGGTGGGTCATGGTCCAATCTCCCTATTCCATCCATAGGGAAGGCCTGTGCCCCAGCAGTGGGGACATTAATAGGCTGATGATGATGATGATGATTTTATAACTTTTTTTTTTTTAAGCCTTATTTACCTTTTTTTAAGCCTTATTTACCTTTCAAACATATCTTTGCATTCATCATGGCTTCCGTGGAATAGTAACTTGCCATCGGCCATCAGCATTATAGAGCTGAACTGCTTCAGCAAATCCATGGAAGGTTGGTGTACAGTGCAGATTACCGCCTTCCCACACAGGGTCAACTTCTTCAAGGTGTCCACGACCAACAACGCGTTGTAACTGTCCAGACCGGTAGTTGGCTCATCGCACATCAGGATCTGAGGACTGGACAGCAGCTGGAAAGATACTATTCTGCAGGCAATTGAATTACCCCACCTGATATACCTACAATGCGAAGAGATAGCGCTGCCTTGCAGCTTAAGGCTAGGACAATTTCGACGCGGCTAAGGGCCGTGGTAGCATAATGGTCAGTGCATTCGCCCGGATAGCGAAGGATGCGGGTTCGAGTCCCGTCCGCTGCCTGGTCCGCGTGGATTTTTTTTTCTAGTAAACTTTTCTTTAGATTTAAACATCTAGCAGTTAAATGCTTAAAAAATAAATTAAGTCATACCCCACCTGCTGTTAAGTGGTGGTACAGTCCAGTCGCGAAGATAGCTGCTGCGGCAGTTATAAACTGTCCCAACAACAATCTGCAGGAAGCAAAGTGAGCTTCCTGCAGAAATGCTTCTTAAAGACTATTATAAAGGTACCCCAGATTGTAGGAAGGAGGGAATACGTACGCGAGCAAAGATTTCCATTTTTTTATAGATAGGTCTGACAAATGACTCCACCCCACCAGATGTTAAGTGACGGTGAAGTCCAGACGCGAAGATAGCTGATACAGCAGTTTTACCTGCCACATCAGTCATCCTTACCTTGCCGGCCTGCGGCCTGCATGTTGCTTCTGCACGCCTCTTTTTAAGGATCCCAGGTTGTAAGAGGTTGGGAACTTGCGAGCAATACTTAGAAATGAGTCACCAAATATCTTTCTTCGAATAGGAGTAGGCTCTATTATAGTTTTTTATCCACAGTTTTTTAACATTGAAATGCTAACTGTGCCCGCGACTTTGATCGCGTGGATGACGGAAAATAACTCCACCCTACCCTTATCAGACAGGGGTTTAAAAAATGGACAATGACCTTTTCTTAGACCTACCAAAAAAACGGGGAAGCCCTTTCTGAGGATTACGGTAATATAAATAAGCTTTGACTGTGACCCGAGATTTTTATAAATAAAGTAATATTTTATTTTTAACATTCCAGATGTTTACAAAAATCTTACAAATACTAGAGGAAATTTGACACGACTATTAGGTAGCATAATCCCGGATAGCAGAAGTTGCTAGTCCGAATCCTCTCTGAAACCTGGACAGTGTGGATTTTTTCTAGTAATATTTTCTTTATATAGTCAAAGATTAGAAGATACACAGGATATTTTTTTTCTACTCATAATAATAAAACAATGATGTCATATAAATATCATAATAAGTGTCTTCACAATCTTACCGAAGTAGTCAATGACAGCAATCGTTTCTCGCCTCCGGACAGTTTGCTGATGTTGGTCCGAGCGATGTTTTTAAGGTTCATCTCCTTCATTAAGTCTCTCAGCATTCTCTTAACTCTATCAGTCTTGCAATTTCCAACTTTCAATTCGGTCTGTAAATGTGTTTCTGATAAGTAGGGGAAAACTGGGAGACTTGCTTAAGTAGGAGAGTTGAACCATCTTTCAAAATTGTATTTAATTTAACGCAAACAAACCGTCAATTCGTTCATTTGTCACATGCAGGGCCGTCTTTAACCTATTGGAGGTAGTGATGTAAAGATTATCCTTGCATTCGCGAATATTCGCATATTTTTGAATATTCGCATTCACATTCGCATTCGCAAAATCTCCGCGAATGTTTTGCGAATATTAATATAAAAAAAAAACAATTTGAAGAAGTTGTAGTTCTTCCTTTCCTTGAATATTCATTGTTACACAACTTGCATTCAGCTCGTTCAGCATCGCAAAGTGTGAAATAAGTCCATATTTCACTAGAATTTGATTGACTCATGTTAATTAATCACTATTCAAACTCTAACCTCAAAATTCACTTGTTTTGTTTACGAAAAGACCGGCGCGAGCGGAATGACACTTCAGTCGGATGAGTTCATATCAAATCGGCAATTCAAACGAGACTGCCACCATGCCATAGACAATTGGTGCCAATTTTGAACAAAAACATATATATTCGCATTCGCGAATGTCGGTACTAGATATTCGCATCCGCATTCGCATTCGCTTGTGTTCAAAAAATTACATTCGTTACATCACCAATTGGAGGCCATGGGCATATTAGGATAATTAGGCCCTTATCTATGACTTTGATGTCGATTATGACTTGAAATGGAGTGAGTCGTACTGATGAGTGTACTACTGATGATCTTTCTTTAAAATGTGTATGTGCTTAGTATACCATTATACGTATATTTAAATTTATCTAAGCATGCTGAAGTCGGAAATACTAATTTTTGGGCGAGAGTAGATTAGCTTCGCTTATGTAAAAGCTAGTACGTTGATATTGTAGTCAGTAATTTAGGTTCGATTTCATCGAATTATATAAGTTTTTTGGTAATAAATATTGGTTATTGTTTGGTGATGTAACAGGAACTAGGGACGTTGTATTTTATCTGAGGCCCCCTCAGATCAAATTCCCCCTATCGATCGCGGGGCCCTGGGCACTTGCCCAAGGTGCCCACTGGGAAAGAGGGCTCTGGTCACATGCATCTACAAACTATATTTTTTATACATTTTTTGTGTCAAAAGTCAATATTGCATAATAAATTATTTGTGGCGGCTACATCTACATGCCCCACATATAATGCACATAGAGGAAATAGTCACTCGCCTCCTTAAGAGATAGCGCTACCGGCGCTGCGTTCACAACGTATGGAAGCCTACATCGCGCAAGAGAAATTCGGAGCCAAACACTCGATATATACGATGCACGCCCAAAATCATTCGAGCTACCATCACCCAGCTCGGAGGAAGATCTTCCCCTTTGGCCTTCCTACATATTCTTGAAAACAATAACAATAATATGCTATGCATCTTCTTCAGAACGAATCTAAAAGTGTTTTTTAAAATAAGGTATATAACTCAAATCAAAATCGTTTATTCAGCTAAGTACACGGATACAGAGAAATTGTTAATATACAATAAATACAACTTGACATTTACTATACTGGCCTCGATTCCGGCACGACTCCCCAAACGCAAACTTAAACCTGACAACAGTGTATCCGTGTCACTACCTATAGAGAATAAAAAGGAGAGAGCGATGCCAAATTCAGTCATCCACGCATTCTCGCTCCGACCGCGGACCGTGCGCCACGTCGCACCGCCGCCTCCCTGCTCCGTGCGCCCCGCCGCACAGCTGCCTGCTCCGAGTCGACTCGACGCGCCTGCGCTCATTCGTGAGACCCAAGATTGGACCAGTGGATACCTAGCGGTGTTAACGAAACTGGTCGGCGTAGCCCCGGTACGTCTCGAGCTCTCCTGAGCTCGGAAACCGGAAGACCCGATCCCATTTGCACTTGGGCCTTCCCAAGGGTGACGGTTGTTCCCATATTCGCTAGGAATATCGGAACACATCTCTTACAGCTTCAACCGACCCCCTGCCGCGGGCAGGGGAGTCCATCGGTGTCGCATAGGGTGTTAGGACCTGTGGCTTCACGCCACAGTCAGGGCACACCTACACACACATCACACAACAACCTACACAGACCTACACACAAACACATCACAAAATGGACATTACACAACAGGTACTGTCCCTCTTCTCCGCCCTCGGCCTCACCCTGGATGAGGCCGCCATCAGGGAGCTCGTCGCGAGAGCGCGCCCCATGCGCGACTCGCCCGCCAGCCCCTCCCCCGAACCCCCCCGCCCCGACACCCCCTGCCTCCCCGGGCCCTCGAGCGCGGGCAAGCGCCCCGCCTCGAGCCCGGTCTCGACGTGTGACTCCGACTCAACCATTGTGTCGGCGTCCGATGACTCCGTGTTCACCACTGTGGTGAGCAAGAAGAAGCGGCGCTCCAAGCGCCGCGCAGACACCGCGTCTCCAACGGCGCCCTCTGTCCCTCTCAGCCCTCTCACCCCTCTCACGGTCGCCCAACCGACCACACAAACCCACCCAACACAGACATCACACAACACTACCAAACCACACAATAGGTGCACCGCCGCACCTATCAAGGCAAAGCCGCCGCCGCCCGTCTTCCTGCGCGATAAGGCGCAATGGGCGAAGGTCGCGGACCTTTGCAAAGCACACAACATCCACTACACACAGGCGTCGAACACTGGTCACGCCATTAAAATCACCACACCCACAATCGACACATTTAGGAGCCTCACAAGGCTACTAACCACACACTCAATCCCTTACCACACATACGCCCTCCCCGAGGAGCGCAAAGTCCGCGCGGTACTCAGAGGAGTCCCCTTCGAGCTCTCCAACGAGCTCATTCTGAACGACCTAACCGACCAAGGCTTCCCAGCCGAGGCAGTGCACAAGTTGCACAGCCGGACTGGGAAGCAATACCCGTTGGCTCTTGTCATTTTGACCTCGGTCCCGGCAGCTAGGGATATTTTTAAAGGTCCCATTACAGTCTGTGGCCTCGACAATATCAAAGTCGAGGCCCCACACCGGCGAGGCACCCCTGGGCAATGCCACAGGTGCCAATTATATGGCCACGCAGCAGCCAACTGCTCGGCGGCCCCGAGGTGCGTCAAGTGCCTCGTACCCCACCTCACCAAGGAGTGCACCCGCACTCGTGATGCACCCGGGGCACCCGCATGCGTGCTCTGTGGCCAAGAAGGCCACCCGGCCAATTACAGGGGTTGCCCGCGGGCCCCACGCCCCAGGCCCAACACTCACACACACACAAAGCCAACCACGGCGACAAAAATACACCCACCACCACCTAATAACACCACCACAAACTTCCCGGGGCTACCCAAGGCGGCCGCCCCTCGCAGCCCGGCGCCCCCGACAGCCTGGGGACCAGCCAGGGCCCGCCCAAAACCACACCCACCACAACACACCACACCAACAACACAAGCTAAGCCAGCCCAAGACGTCTCTCTGGCCGAGGACATGGCGCTTATTCGCTCCTCGCTCAAGAGGGTGAATATCGCCGAGATCCACACCCTCGCCGCGAAGCTCCGGCTAGCAAAGACACCCCTTGAAAAGGCTATAGCTATAGCCGAACACCCCGAACTCGTTGCCGCGTTCGATTAATTTTTCAATCATTATAACACTGGAAAATAACCAGACTCCGAACACAAACAAAAACACTATACACAAAACACGCGGTGATAACTCAAACAAACACCACTGTTGTTTAAATTATGACCGCGCAAAACACTAACATAACAATCACTCAACTAAACCCCGGGCGTACCAAGCCGAAAGGCGCTTCGCTTGTGTCATTTAATACGCGCAGCTTAAAGTCCAACCTTAACGAAATTAAATTATTTTTGCAAGATAGAGAACCCGACTTTCTGCTCCTTCAGGAGACTTGGCTCAAACCAACTCAAATGAAGGGGCTGTCGATCCCTAAGTATAAATTAATCCGGAACGACGGTGCCAACGCGCGCGGCGGCACCGCAATTTACTATAGACGCAATTTACACTGCACACCTATACCCACTCCCGCGCTCACAAACATGGAAGCCACCATCTGTAGGCTGGCGATGACGGGACACCAGTCCTTAATCATCGCCTCAGTCTACATTAGATCAGGTACACACCCTCACCGCGCAGACTTCGAAACACTCACTTCACTAGGTACATCAGTCATAATGTTCGGTGACTTTAACTCCAAACACACCGACTGGACATGCGAGACCACCACCACCTCTGGCCGCAGATTACTACACATAACCGAGGAGCTTGGCTATGATGTCATATGTCCCTACGCGCCCACCCACTACCCAGACAATGTACAAAACAGACCCGACGTCCTGGACTTCGCGATCCTTAAAAACGTGTCGCTTCGCCTCAGCTCGATCGAAACGCTCGACGACCTGGGGTCAGATCACAGACCGGTGTCTCTAGTTCTAGGTCCCCAAGACCCACTAGACGCCCCCGCGCCCCCTAAGAGGCTATTCACCAACTGGGACGGATACCGCTCCGCTCTCGAGACCGCTTTAGACTCCCCCGAGTCCCCGTTCCCTAACTCACCGGACAGTCTCGACAGCACCGACAAGATTGACGAAACAATAGAGTCTTTAACTTTACTGGTGACCGAGAAGGCGAAGGAGAACTCGCGGGAGGTTGAGCTGCCAAAGCCCAAGCTCCCGCTGGCCATCCGGAACCTAATCCAAGCCAAAAACGCCGCTCTCCGGAGAGCCAAATTATACCCCACCCCCGAGTATAGGGCTACAGCTAATCGCCTTCAGCGACAAGTTAGGTCCCAATTAGCCGCTCTGAGACACTCCCGTTGGGAGGAACTCATGGCGGACATTACCCCATCCCATCTTGCGTACTATAGAATCGCGAAAGCGCTCCGTAGCGACGTTACCACCCACACCCCCCCGCTCACTCGCCCCGACGGCACCGTCGCCTTCGAAGACGACGAAAAATCTGAGTGTTTTGCAGACAGCATAGCGGCGCAATGCACGCCTAGTACGCAGGAAACTAACCCGCAACATATTCGCGGAGTAGAGGAGGAGGTCCGCCGGCGGGCCGCCCTTCCACTCACTGACAACCCCCTAGATCCCGTCACGACAGACGAACTCAGACAGACCATTAGAAACTTTAAGCAACGCAAGGCCCCGGGCGCCGACGGCATCTCTAACAAGGCGCTCAAGCACTTTCCCATCCAAATGCTAACCTTGCTTGCAATTCTCTTTAACGCATGTTTTGATCTGTGCTACTTCCCAGCCGCCTGGAAAGAAGCAATAGTGATAGGCATCCCCAAACCCGGAAAACCCGCGCACCTCCCCAGTAGCCATCGCCCTATTAGCCTCCTCAAGGCAATGGCGAAACTTTTCGAAAAAACCATACTGACCAGACTAAGAGAGCACCTCCTATCACCATCCGATCCAATTATCATTGACCACCAATTCGGCTTCAGAGCCAAACACTCCTGCCCCCAACAGATCCATCGCATAGTGGAGCACGCCCTAAGCGGCTTCCAACTTAATAAATATAAAACTATTGCAGTCTTCTTCGACGTCGCCAAAGCCTTCGACAAGGTTTGGCACGACGGATTAATCTTTAAATTATATCAATTAAAATTACCTGACCGCCTAGTTAGGTTAGTAGCCTCTTTTCTGTCAAACCGCACCTTCCGCTATAGATACGAAGGTTCACTATCAACGCCCCGCCCACTACGAGCCGGTGTACCGCAGGGGTCCGCTCTCTCCCCCCTGCTATACACAGCGTACACCAATGACATCCCTCAGACCAAGGGTGTCGAGCTCGCTCTCTTCGCGGACGACACGGCCCTCTACTCTAGGGGAGCCAGTACCAATCAAATCATAGCCAAGCTCCAACCGGCAATCACAACACTTGGGAATTGGTTCCGCGATTGGAGAATCGACGTAAATCCGGACAAAAGTTCGGCCATTTGCTTCGATCCCAAGCGCCGCACCAAAACCATACAACACGGTGCGCGGTCTCTGCGAATGCAAGGCATAGCAATACCGTGGCACCGCACAGTCAAATACCTAGGGATCACACTAGACAAAAAACTCACCTTCCGTGCACACATCACACGCGTAGTCGCGAACGCGCGCTTTTATATGAGCCGCCTCCACCCGATGCTCGGTAAATACAGCAAAATGTCACTTCGTAACAAGCGAACGCTTTACAAAGTTTGCATACGCCCGGTCCTCACTTACGCGTCACCAGTGTTCGCACACGCGGACGAAGCGATTTTGAACAAACTTCAAGTGCTTCAAAATCGCTTCTGCCGCATAGCCACAGGGGCCCCGTGGTACGTCCGCAACGCGGACCTCCACAGGGACCTACAACTCGACACAATTCAAACACACCTCACAGAGTGCTCGGAACGGTTCTTCAAAGCTGCAGAAGAGCACTCTAACACACTCATTAGATCGGCGTCGGGATACGCTCCACACACTCCATCTCGATTCAGGCCCCGCAGGCCCAAACACGCACTCACAGCCACACACAATAAACTCACGCGCGATCTCGCGGCCCTCTTGGCCGCTGAGGATCCAACACCCGCGGTGAGTCCCCCCCACCCCCCCGACACAGAGAGGTTCGATTCCTCTCAGTCCCCTCCCGTTTCAAGTGCACATCTGAGTGCACTTGTCCTCTAAGCGCATTTTGCGTTATTTTAAACTATGCACTAGTTTAAACTAACGCAGCGCCGCATCATCCCCCTCTCGGGGGGTGATCGCTTCAGATGAAGCTTGTAAGGCCCTTCTGGCCATAAGCATGAATAAAGGGTGTTTTTTAGTCAGTAGGAGTCTGACATAACCTTACAGCCGGCTGTAGGGTATCCATGAGGATTTCTCACCCTCTCCCCCGCCTGGGAGGAAACAAAAAAAAAAAAAAAAAAAAAGCCAAATTCAGTCCTAAGTTTATAGAATCGTGCCAGTAGTGACATCAATATCCGTATCCACAGCTGCGCTGAAAAGGGCCCAGTTTAGTCTTATGTCAATGCAGTGTGCACTGACCATGGTTTTCAACTGGGTCCTTTATCTGACAAATGGATGCCAAACACTAACGATTCAGTCAAATTATATAAAATAAAGAATTATATAAAATATTAATTAATTAATAAATTATATAAGACAAGGCTGTGTGAAACCGTTGTCTTTGCTATAGGATTAGAAAATAAATTAAGAAAAATATGGTTACAATTTCTTTAAAATGTGTATCACACCGTTTCCTATTTTGTATCAGATATGGGATCTAAATAAAGCAAATTATCAAAAATAAAGCATATTATAAAATACATTTACCTCTCATTACCTATATAATCAGTTCATCACAAGATCGAGTCTCTTTTCTCAAAGTAAGCACTGTTTCAAGAGATTCGAACTCAGGTCTTCCAAGTAGGCGACACATTGAAAACCACTGTACCACTTTACCAAGGAGCAAAGCAACTCTTTTGTATAGTCTAGTATTTTCTAAGTACAATTCAGGAGTTTTTATGGCTGTGTAGAAGAACTGAACCCAGTACTTTAGAGGTAAAGACATCGTTTGATACTGATCATGAACACCAAATGCTTATCAACAGATCGAGCAACCGCCTCTTCCCAGTCAACAACCACAAACTTCAGTAGTTCTTATGGCTGTAGAGAAGAACCGAAAACAGATGTTCAGAGAGAAAGAGGTCGGTTATACTGACCATGAACACCAAATGTTCATCAACAGTGAGCCCCGGCATGAACACGTCGTGCTGCGGCACGATCTCCACCGCGCCCTGCGTGAGGCGCACGTCCCGCCCGCCCAGCGTCACCACCCCCCGCGTGGGCATTTGGCACTTCCCAGCCAATGATACCAGGAATGTGGTCTTACCGGCACCGCTGTTAATGACATAGGACTTGAAAGCTTGTGTTAAACAAATATTGACAACTAGTGGCCCGCCCTCGCTTCGCTTCGGTATAGAGCTGAAGTGTAGACTACAGATTTTGTTCTCAGGCTTGTATTATATACAATGACATTCATCTATGATTCTTCTTATATACCTGCATGCAAAGTCTTAGCCTGATCGGTTTAAAATTGACAAAGTTTCATACAAACTTTCATTCCCTATTTTACCCCCTTGGGGGTAGAATTGATCAAAATCCTTTCTCAGCGGATGCCTACGTCATAACATCTATCTGCATGCCAAATTTCAGCCCGATCCGTCCAGTGGCTGTGCGTTGATAGATCACTATGTCAGTCAGTCAGTCACCTTTGAGTTTTATATATATAGATTTAGGTAACAGAACATGAAAACTAAATTGATTCCTTATTAAAATTATCCAAGTTTTGTCTATTGACCTACAATGTTATCTTAATTCAATCAGTGTTAAAAGCTTTTGAATGTTAATACAGGTTTTAAGATAAACATTTGACAAATAAAATAGATATACAACGTGATATTGATACAAAAATACATTCACTTTCAACTGATGAAATGTTTACGTCTATATTCTTTTACCGTGTTTAATATCTGAATTATAGACGGAAATTATCTCATTTCTTGATAAAATCTGTTGTAAACCTACCTTGGTCCAAGAATGGCCGCAAACTCTCCTTCTTTGATGCATCCTGAAACTAGAAATTGAGTACCTATGTAACAATTAATTTATCTATTTATGTAACTATTTTAGTTAAGTACTAACGTACTGCTTTAAAGTTAAAAAAAACCGACGTGTAGTACCCCTAGCACGAACCATTATCGAATTCGAATAGTTTGCAAACCGAAATGTCAATGTCAAATTTTGTATGGAAACTTGAACAGCAGCGGCACAAAGTACGTAACGAGAACTAAAAATCAGTACATATGTGACAATGACATTTCGGACTCGCAAAAGATTCGAATTCGATATTGGTTCGTGCTACGGGTACTGTTCACTTACGCTAGAAGTGAAACCTACAAAAATGTAAAAAACGTAAAAGTCTACATATTATTTTTATTTTATTTCTTTTGTTATGTTTTTCCTATCTTAGATTTTTTTCGAAACATTTATTTAGAAAAAAATACTGTAAAAAAAATTGTAAACATTGGAAAGGTAAGGATTGTTGATAATAACCAAGCCTGTATTAATAAATAACTTAGGCAGCTACCAAACGTTTATTACTTAACTATTCAGGTATTGTAAAATACTGGGCTGAAATATTGAATACTTAAATTGTTTCGAAAAATATAATAATAAACAAATAAAAAATAATAACCGAGTTCAGGATCGAACCTTCGATCATTTGGTGCCGACCCCAAGACCGTTACCGCTCGGCTAACTGTATCTTGCAGAGAGTTACAAAATTACGGATACCTTGTGTCAAATACTGTCGCTTTTTCGTTTCATCGAGTTTCAAATCACAACGGTGCTAAAGAAGTTTTCACTTCAAAAATTAACAACTCTCCTAAAAAGTTAAAATATTGGAAATTTTTGATCGTCTTGATAAAATACAGAATTTTAACATTCCACTTTGGACTAATAACTCGACCAAACCCACAAATATTTATTTTACAATTATAACTTCGTCTTGCTAAAATTGTCAGAGCGATTTGACAGCTCAATTGATGGTAATTGATCACCTCGCCCCTAGACACCTGCAACACCAGGAGTATCACAAATGTTAAACCGGCCTTTAAGGAAGGAGTACTTACGCTCTCTTTTTTAAGGTTTTCGTCTTTCGGTTCGTATTAGTTTGGAAAAACTGTTGGCGACAATGTACACACATCAAAAGTGTCTAGGGATCAACATATATTTTTGCAATAACTTTTCTCCTGATTGATATTAATTAAAATTTTCTTTAAGGATTCATCAAATAAAGTGTTTTCGTTTGTCACAGTAACGATAAACCAAGTCACCTTTGCATTAATAAAGAAATTTGCCATTTTCCTAATAAAGGGATTTTTGTCATTTGAACCACTAACACAAAAGTTCGAAAAAAAGACTGAAATAAGTTTTCTCTAAAATTTTATTGGGTAACTTAAACAATTAATAATCCGTATTTCTACCGCGAACACTAACAACACAAGAACATCGGTTTGGCATACTCAAAATGAGTTCATCCAAATCACGCTGTGGAATGGCCGCCCATGTTCGTTGCAACAACAAAAAAAAGGTCTTCTTGCGACTGGATACCCTCCATATTCGGCAGAGCTCTTCTCTGTAGCATATCCCATGCATGCTCAATCGGGTTCAAGTCTGGCGACTGAGCAGGCCAGGGCAGGACATTGATGTTAGCTGCGGCGAGTGTCTGTCTTACAACTCTTGCGGTGTGCGGTCGTGCATTATCATGCATTAACTGAAATAAGGGACCGATTTGCACTTGTAGAGGAACGATGACGTCTGATACAATCGTCTCAGCATAAATTTGAGCGTTGAGGTTGCCTCTGATCCAAATCAACTCAGTTCTTCCGCCGATCCAAATACCCGCCCATACCATGATGGTTCCACCACTATAAGGATGGACTTCCTGGCAGGATTTTAATCGCTGTTGGCGTCCAGGGGTTCTCCAGTGTCGTATACGTCTTGTATCCGGTCTCATACCAAAACGAGACTCATCAGAAAAGCACACGAAACGCCATTGTTCTTCTGCCCAATTTCTGTGTTCAAGAGCCCATTGATATCGAATCCTACGATTGTGCATTGCTATAGGTGGTACCCGTAGCGGTCTTCGGGAATGAAGGTTCACTTCATGCAAGCGGTTTCTGACTGTTTGGTCGCTAATTAAGTTCCCTGAAGAGTGATGAAGCCTCACGGCTAACATCATGGCGGTTATTGTTGGAGCTCTTCGAGTTAAGATTTGAATGTATCGGTCTTGTCTCCGTGTGGTGCAGCGATACCGTCCTCCATGGCGCTCAGCCACGGTACCAGTGCTTCGGTATCGTGTCCAAAGTCGACTGATAACACTCTGACTTGTATTCAGAGCTAAAGCCACAGTACGTTGCCGGGAACCAGCTTCTATCATTCCCACGGCTCTGAGCATTTCTTCCCTGCTTAAATGACGTCGCCGCTCCATAATAACGTTGGTTTTAATCAGTAGTAGGGAAACAGTAGCACTAATAATGTCTTCAATGCGTTGTATGTTTTTATAGGGAAAATATTGACAGCTGATTTTCATCTTTTACTCGAATTTGATTCACAGTTCCTGATTCAAATTATGAAATGCACCAAAAAGGATCCATATAAATTTATAAAATCTTAAATTTATTACAAAGCCACATCTCAATCTCAAGAAATCCGCATAAAAATGCTTGATCCCTAGACACTTTTGATGTGTGTATGTCACAGTTTGGTTATACTTGGTAAAAAAATTGTTCCGGGTGGGTACTGATGACTGCAGATGCAGCTGAGACCAACGGCTTAACGTGCCTTCCGAAACACGGAGAAGCGCGAGATAACACATTTTTGGTCACCCATCCGATGGTCGGCCATTGTGAAAGTTACTTAGCTTTCGCGATCGCAGACCAAGCGCGCTCACTGCTTTCGCCATTGAAATCATTAATATACATCCTACAACCAAACTTACTGTTATTTAATATAAGAGTGCTTGGCTTTATAACCTTACGCCTCCACCAAGATTTCTCCTCTGGCGTCCAGACGGACAGACCACTTATTCTGATAACACTTCTACTCCCTTCTTCGCTTGTCTAAAACAAATTTTAACTAATATTAAAGTAAGCTCAATGTAAGTACCATTATCATCATCATCATCTGCCTATTAATCTCCCCACTGCTGGGGCACAGGCCTTCCCTACGGATGGAATAGGGAGATCGGGTCATGACTCACCACGCGAGCCCAGTGCGGATTGGCGGGTGCTAACGACTGCAGATACAACCGGGACCAACGGCTTAACGTGCCTTCCGAAGCACGGAGGAACTCGAGATAGAAGATTTTGGTTACCCATCCAATGAGCGACCACTGCGAAAGTTGATTACAACGATCGCAGCCGAACGCGCTAACCGCCTGCGGCTTGCTCCTCCTTCGATGTAAGTATAGTACAATCCTTTAATATTAAGTAGTAATAAAACCGGCCAAGTGCAATTCGGACACGCAAACGAAAGGTTCCCTTCCCTATAGTACAACAAAAAAAATTAAAACAAGTAAAAAGAAATCACGTTTTAACGGTAAATAGCTTTGTGTCAACAGTAACTGTAATTCGGTTAAAATTTCTGGTCCACCTATAGGTATGTATAAATGAATGGGATAGGGATGGATTCTATGTAACAACTCTGCAACCTGTATTCGCAATAAAGATGATTTGATTTGATTTGATTTGATAGAACCTTGTGGCAGACAGGCAGACAGTGGGCTTTTTTATGTTAAATGGCCCGTCAGATGGTAAGCGGCCCCCATAGCGTATAGACTAGACTTGCAACGAATATTCGGTTACTATTCGGTATTCGGCCTATTCGGCTGCTTTTATTATATTCGGCCAAATACCGAATATCTACATATTATTGGGCCGAATACCGAACACATAAATAATATATTTTGTCATAGAGAAATAATTGGTAAAATGAAAAATTAAAATCGATTGCTTACGTATATATTCATATTTTCATTTCTGTTTTATAATCATTTAAGAAGTCATTGGTACATAACTCAAGTACATAATCATCTTCTGAATTGGAAAAATGGAGGATTCTATGTATTTGAATTATTATGGTAATCAAAATTTAGAAGGGTAAGGTTCTCATTTCTTTTATAATCATTTATTAAGTAGTCATTGGTACATAAAACAGGTACATACTTTAATCATTTTCTGTATTAAACAAGTTAACAGTTTTTAATTCATTCAGTCATGTGATGAATGGTTACATAATAACAATAATTTAAAGTTTACGCGCCGTTTTTGGCCATATCTCAAAAGTTGGTTTTGTCATTTAGCCGCATTTTAGCTTGAGGACGGCAGATTAGAACAAAACAAAGGAGCGCGAAACAATCACGTCTGTACAAGTTTTTGGGCGCTAAAATCTAGCCGAATACTTTTGCCTAATCTTCGGCTATTCGGTCAGGGGCCTCGCCGAATATTCGGTATTCGGTATACTGCCGAATATACTATTCGTTGCAAGTCTAGTATAGACGCTTGCGATTCCAAAACTAACACTCGAGACTTACCTAGACGGGCGCTCCAATTCAACAAAGCGCGTGAAGGTATCAAGCTGTAACTTATATCAAATACTCAGGTCTACTGTCCCTTGGAGCTGTGATAAAATCAAACTTCTTAGTCAACGCAATCAAAAGACACAGCCGTTTATGCGGCAAATTTTCGAAACTCGCAAAGAATCAAAACCTACAGGGTGCTTCCCGTGAACTCTGAATCTTAAAATTTGGTACGAAGCAACGTCTTATAGCACAGACAAAGGAAAAATTGCGAAAACCGTAAAATTAAGTGACAACATTTTTTTACATAATTTTTAATTACCTACAGGTTTGTACGGAACCCTTGGTACGCGAGTATACTCGCAAATGGCCGGTGTTTTTATATATAAAAAAATAGATTTCAAAATCATACTGACCACTTTTCGGCACATTAGTTTAAAAATTAAGAAATTAAAAATAATAGCACGTAAACAATAAATTTCCATCGACTTTTCTGGCCACTCAGCGCGTTGAAAATGGATTTTTATACACTTTTGCAGCCCGCTTAGTAGTACAACAGTAGGTAATGAAGTTCTGCTTCATTTTTAAAACTACAATAAAGGCAAGCCGAGCTTGTGAAGTATAAAATTGTTTACTTACATCGCTCAATTCCATTTTCCACAGACACAAACGTACAACCCACTATCGAATCATTGCTAATACTGTAAGGAATTTAAATACAAGACAACAGGTTTGTAACTTAATTAATTGAATAATAAACCACGACTGGTGCTTCGGAATCACTATGTAAATAATACGACGGGCTGATAAAAACTTTACTGTCTGTTTGCATATTCAGAATTTACTTATTCGGCCGTAAGCATTTGATATAGTTTAAGTAAATAAGGCAGGTATTTGGGACGTATATAAAAAAAAATATGAGATGGAACTTTAATATAAGTGGAGGAGTTATGAAAAAAACAGGCCAAGTGCGAGTCCGAGGGTTCCGTACAAACTCAATTTAATACCTCTACGCGTTCATGAGAAAAGAGGTAGTAGCTATAAAAAAAATGATGTGGTGTCGTGGGACACCAGGTAGGAACGAAGTTCCTTCGGCTAGGGATATTCGATATACATCGATGCATCGAAAACATCGATGTTTGCAAAGAAAAACATCGATACGATCCGATGTTTTGAATAGCTTTCAATATACTCGATGCATCGATATTTTAAAGAAACATCGAATTGGTAATAGAGTTTGACCACGTAGTGATAATATCCTCTTCGGTTTGACCTCAGTTAAAAAACTTAAGTTTGACCACTAAAATTTTACTTATTAGTATAGTATTATGAAAGCATCATTATTCTGAATTCTCTGATATGGACCCGATGTTGGCAGCACTGCGCAAGAGTCAGTGCAGTGACAATAAAAAAATAACTACGAGTTTCTATGTTTATAAACATTTAACAACCTTTAGTTTTGTGAAAGAAATTAAGATTGAAGTATATTTATAATATCCTTTTGACAGACTTAGCAAACATTTTGCGGGTTATTTAGCGTTTTTTTATATGATCTTTTGTAAAAATATGATACAGATTTTTCTGACACATGACTTTTACTTGTATTTAGTTTTACCTACTCATGATGAAAGGAGTTAATTCTATTATCTTATGAAAGATTAATATATAAACTATAATAAAATTATGGATTAAGGTATTTTCATAAACTTCAATTGTATTTTTTTTTACTATGAAAAGATGGCCTCTTTTGAGATGGGTCACTTTACACATAAGTTGAGTTTTGTAATAAAATTTCAGAAAAAGTACTCGATGTTTAAAATACATCGATGTTTTCATCCGATACATCGAATGACATCGATGTATAGTTGTGATGTATCGAAGCAAAAAATACATCGATGTTTTTTCAGAGTGGACACCCCTACCTTCGGCTAATGTAGAATCGACACAAATTGCAAACTCGCTTGTGTATGCGACTGTCGCGCCTGCGCACGTCTCATTTAACGGTTTTATTCCACGCACTTTTTTCCACGGATTTTTTCTTACGGTTTTACTATCACATTTTTTTCAGTTCGGTCGCGCAGCAAAATCCGTATCCCCTCCTATCTGTCGCGCCTGTGCACGTCTCATTTAACGGTTTTATTCCACGCACTTTTTTCCACGGATTTTTTCTTACGGTTTTACTATCACATTTTTTTCAGTTCGGTCGCGCAGCAAAATCCCTATCCCCTCCTATCTGTCGCGCCTGCGCACGTCTCATTTAACGGTTTTATTCCACGCACTTTTTTCCACGGATTTTTTCTTACGGTTTTACTATCACATTTTTTTCAGTTCGGTCGCGCAGCAAATTCCCCATCCCCTTCAAGCCTGCCGTAAGGAACTTCGTTCCAAAAAAAAATTCAAACATATTTTTTATTATACACATGATGTAGTTAACTAAAAATTTACGGTTTTCGCAATTTTTCCTTAATCTGTACTATAAGACGTTACTCCGTACCAAAGGACATCGACGAAATCCGCCCTAGCATGCCCAAAAGAATGTCCTTCACTATTATTTTTCTATTATTTTTTTAACTTATTAGCAATTAATCATAGTAAGCGGACAATCTGTTTAAAAAAAATAAAAAATAAAAGTTCTGTTACTAGATTACAATCTGTGCATCCAACTTGGCACTCCTTCTTATTGAAAATATAGCATTAAAAATCAACTGATAACTGGATTCAATAGGTTTCAGTCTATAATAACGATTTATTTTAATAGTTTATTGGCTTTGTTAATATTTTATTATTAAATGGGTGATTCTGTTAAAAAGTTGTGCCAAGATTGTTTACCTTAAAAAATGCAATATAGGCGACCATAGGTATTTAATTTATCAGTATAAAAATAGAACTAGGTACCTTATTTAATAATACTTATTACTAGTATTTATATTATATTTATAAAAATATTATTTCTGAAATTATCTAAAGATAGTTTATACTCCCATCCCATGTAATATCTGTTTATTTTTATGAAAATCATAATGATAACCAGGTACATACCTAATTACCGCTAAAATATAGAAACAGGTAAATGGAAAGACTGAACATTTCATTTGAAAAGAAATCTATTATTACCTACTACAGGTAGGTATAGGTATATGTATCACTGACCAATTATGCTACCGCAGCCCTCACGGACCACGTCGAAAATCTTCTAGCCATTCTTAAGCTGCAAGGCAGCGCCATCTATAGGTAACCCACAATGTCAAATGAATACTTTTTACAAGTATTAAACATTTGAAAGAAGAAATAGTTACAATTTTTATTATTTTAAAGCAGTCAGTGCATTCGCACGGATTGCGAAGGGTGCGGGTTCGAGTCCCGTCTGCTGCCTGGTCCGCGTGGATATCAACTGACAACACTCATAAATCAATATGAATATAAGCATTTATTATTTTTATTATTAATTGCATTGAATGTTCATTTAATGCATATTATTTAAGTGCTTACATAGAGGTAAACACTAAATCTATTCAGAATATATAAAGTGTACATCTTTTACGATTAAGTATAATAATTATAACCTCAAAATCTAATACATTCTGGAGTAGGCCACGGTTCCTCAAGTTGTCCGTATCTCAACAAATGCTTAATTAGAGTGTATGAATGATTCCGAACACAACTAGCATTTTCTCATTGCTGGGCGTTCTAGGGCATTCAATGTATGGGGAACGAGCAATGTCCTTTCAAGATTCTAAGGCCCGTATTATAGAAAGATTCTCAGTGATTGATCTAGTCTTGAGCATAGTTAGAAAGGGATGTCGCTACATGAAGCACATAGCGATATCCCTTTCTAACTGTACTCAAGTAAAGATCAACACTTAGTTGACATTCTGTAATACGGGCCTAAGTTCACGGGAAATACCCTGTAGGCTTAGAAGTTTGATTTTTCATAGCTCCAAGGGACAGTAGACATGAGTATTAGATATGAATTTTAATACTTCCACGCGTTCCTGAGACAGACGGACGGACAAGAAAGTGATCCTGTAAAGGTTCCGTTTTTTCCTCTTGTTTTTTGAGGTACGGATTCCTAAAAATTGAGCTGCAGCACGCCTGGCATATCCATGTGAAACAACGTAACTTAGATAAAACGAACGAACATGATTAAAATATCCACGCGGACCAGGCAGCAGACGGGACTCGAACCCGCACCCTTCGCAATCCGGGCGAATGCACTGACTGCTTTAAAATAATAAAAATTATAACTATTGTTGCTATTTCTTCTTTCAAATGTTTAATACTTGTAAAAAGTATTCATTTGACATTGTGGGTTACCTATAATGCGAAGAGATGGCGCTGCCTTGCAGCTTTAGAATGGCTAGAAGATTTTCGACGCAGTCCGTGAGGGCTGCGGTAACATAATTGGTCAGTGCATTCGCCCGGATTGCGAAGGGTGCGGGTTCGAGTCCCGTCTGCTGCCTGGTCCGCGTGAATTTTTTTCTAGTTATATTTTCTTTAGATTTAAACATCAAGCAGTTACATGCTTTTAAATAATAAAAATTATAAAAAATTATAACGATTAAAATAATCATAAAACAGATTACTTACGTTCTTAAGTATCTTTAAATGCTTTATAGAATAGTAAATTAATTGTAGTAGACAATTTCACTAATTTCTACTGCAATTAAATTACTATTATTATATAAAGCATTAATGTTTTATTGTGGTTTAAGGTGATTAATGAAATTGAAATACGACGAAATACGATACGTGGAGGATACTTCCCGAGACCACCGCTCCAAATCGTTTGGGAAATCCGTTTTGCTCTACCTCTTACAACATCGCATTTAAAGATTATATACATTTTAATGAATTAACAAGCGTCCTAATTGAATGCAAATGTGTGACCACAAGAACCTGGTACAAAATATCATCAGTACGAGATTTCTAATTGCCTCGTATCATGTATAGAGACTGCCAAATCTCAAACGTAAGAGTCCTCATACGTTAGGTAATACTGCGCGGCGCGGCTGCGCCCGCGTCAGCACAGGCCGTCGGACAGCGCCTTAAGTCTGACCGTCCAATAGAAAAGTTGTTTAACTTCCAAAATCCATAAACTTTACATGCTACATAACCACTGCGCTATCGAGCTCAATAAAAATAACTCACTCATCTATCCAATATCATACGCTTTAACATGCAAATTAACAGATTATTTAGTAGAATTCGAATAATCCTTCAATTGGCATGATGAACAACTTGACTTGACATCCGGCCGATCGCAGCGCAGATCCATCCATTGATTGACCTGAATTATCAATGTCAGATCGTAATACAATTATGGCTGTATTGTAAACATACGTAAAGTGCTGTTAGTCATGTTGAATGTAGTCTGCGGTACAAATAAGCAATTACCGATTTTTTATTATTTTAAGTATCTTTTTTTAACGCAGGTAAAAAATGCTGTTTACATACAACGGCGCCTTTAAAGGGTAGCGAGTAACTGTTACGGGCGCTTTACGGCATAATATCTGCTAAAAAAGTCCTGCGAATAACTTTTATAATGCGATTCAACTAAGAATAGGACCAACTGGGTGGACCATATTGTGATGTCATAGCTGTCAATTCAAACCTAATAGGTAAAGTGAGCAAAAAATGTTTTTATTTAATAAAACTTATTTACAAAGATTAAGTGAGAAAAAAGCATCAGATTTTTTTTAACATTTAGTTATTAAGATTGAGAAAAAAAACCAGCGAATTTTAATAATATTTATTTATTAAGACTGTGAGAGAAAACATTAATCAGAATCTAGCTCTTCTATTCCACTATGCAGAGAGCATTACCGCCAGAGTAGTTATGAATAATCATGCACTATTACTAGGTCACATACGAACATGCATCCTTTATAAACGAAAGTTTGAAATCGACTTTCTGAACGCAACTTAAAGTTACATTTGGTTGACGATTTAGGTTACCAACCATTCATGGCCAAAGCTCAATAAGTGAAAAAAAATATCAACCGATTTTATTATCAATATTTGTTATTGTTTATTAACAAATATTTGGTTTTTATTCTTGAATTAGCTAACAAAGGTTTTCAAGATTTTTTTGCAAACCGTACTTTTCAAGCGACATTTGACAGATAGAGGTCATTGGCTTTCCTATTCTTATTTGAATAGCATTATACACTACTTAATGCGAAGCCGCGGGTCCCCGTTTAGGGATTCTACGTTTCATTTTTTAAGTACCTGTGCGTAACAGGGGTAATGTTTTTGTAGTATTTTTAATCAATGTATCTTCACGACAGGCAACGCTTCGTTATATTTATAATATGTAATCGATTTAAGAGCGGACGCGAGCTGAGAGAGACATTTGAGAAATACGTCTTCGAAAAAACTATTGCTCTCGCATATTGTCAAATACCATGCTATAGGGACAGCAGTACTGAACGATGAAAATAGCGCATAAAATTGTAAAATTCGAGGTTTGGCTCTCAACGATTACCTCCTCGAAAATTAGACCTCGGACAAGCTCGTGTCCTGGAGGTCCCCACTCCGTGAATATCTGGAAAACTACACCCCTACCGATCCTCATTGGTAGGGATTGGATATTTTTTTCCATTTATCGCTACCAGTAGGAATGTTATTAAGGGTTTCTCGATTAACCGGTAGAAACCCGAGTGGATCAGTAGGGATATGTGGAATAGAAAGTTCCATTCATCCCAACTGGTAGCGAAGTACACCTACTAGTGGAAATATGTCAGTAGGGACATATATACTTACCAATTTCTCCTCTGTGACTAGATGGAAAACAGCAGAGTTTAGCAAGCCCTGAAAGCTGATGTCCCCACTGCTAGGGCACAGGCCTTCCTTACGGATAGAATAGGGAGATTGGGCCATGACCCACGCGGGCCCAGTACGGATTGGTGGGTGCTGACGACTGCAGATGCAGCTGGGACCAACGGCTCAACGTATCTTCCGAAGCACGGAGGAGCTCGATACAGTGAATTTTTGGTCACCCATCCAATGACCGACCACTGCGAAAGTTGCTTAATCATCTCGCTCCTTAAACAAACAAATAAAACTCGCCATTTCGTCAGTAAACAATTTATTTTACAACTCTCACGCGCTCAGTAAGTAGATACCTAATACTTATCATACTTATTCCACAGTATCATACACTATCGCTACAAGGTACGTATATTATGACTGCAGCCACTGATGGCACTCGACATGCGATTATTCGTAACTAAAAATACAAAAATAAACAAAAAAAAAACACCCTCACAAACCTCTTTATTCGACAAAGCAAAGAAATAATACAACTGAAATAGGTAATGAAAGCAAATAAATTAAAGCAGTCTATAATATTTCTGTGCAGTGATGTTACAAGTAAATAAAAAAATGACTGTCGCTATCTATAAAAATAACGATTTAGACACTTCTTTAGGTTATATTTAAAAATAGCAAGAAGAAGAAGAAGATGTAATGAGATAGTGGTCTAATTTACAGTCAAACATAGCGTATGAGAGTTTAGTAAAGTTAAATTTATACTTATAAAAAACTAATTTACAAGACCATGGAGGCATTTTCTAAATGTATTAAAAACCATCACACTTTTACACATTATGAATATTTAAATCGGAAACCGTATGAATCAGAGCAAACAGTATGTAAATACTAAGCGATTTCTCTCTAACGCTTCTGTCGAATTTTCACCTGTTTATTGTAGCATTATTAAAATATAACATCTTAATTGTTCAGCTCACTAAATAACAGTGAATACTTCTTTAACTTCAAACAAAACATCAACACTTTTATAATACACAAAACCACATAAAATAGAGAGTTACGTAGCATAAATAATTAAAACATTTGGGTAAAAAAAATCTAAGATTTTCTTCATATTAGGGGAAACCACCCAATCATTGGCACTCTTCCTATTATTGGCACTTTTGAGTTTAATTCGGAAAAAAAGGAGACAATTTAGATTATTCAAGGTCGTTACATATTAAAAAGAAAACCCTAGTCATCATCACATCATCATCATCATCAGCCTATTAATGTCCCCACTGCTGGGGCACAGGCCTTCCCTATGGATGGAATAGGGAGATTGGGCCATGACCCACCACGCGCGCCCAGTGCGGATTGGTGGGTGCTAACGACTGCAGATGCAGCCGGGACCAACGGCTTAACGTGCCTTCCGAAGCACGGAAGAGCTCATGTTATTAAATTTTTGGTCACCCATCCAATGACCGACCACTGCGAAAGTTGCTTAACTTCAACGATCGCAGCCGAACGCGCTAACCACTTGCGCCATCGAGCTCCTCAAAAGAAAAACCTAGTATGGTTTCGAAATTTGAAAATTGGCAGCATTATTCCTACAATTTATTGTTTCCTGTATTTTTCGAACTAAACTCAAAAGTGCCAATAATAGGAAGAGTGCCAATGTTTGGGTAATTTCCCCTAATAAGATTTGAGTCATGCATATCGTTACTATAACTTTTTATAGTAACGTAAATTTGCAAACAGGCAATCATTTATATGAGTTTAAAGATGATAATAAGAAATGAATAAAATTAATATAATTTGATAATAACTTTCTAGAATTATGCATTGTATTTTATTTATATTTAAGAAAATGTGATGGAACGCGATCCTCATAAAAATAAGAAGAACGTCATTTATTATGAGAATTTGGTTTTAAACACTAACTTATTTCTTGGACGCAAATTGATTTAAATTTTTCGAGTTATTAAATATATTTATCTTCCACACACTCAATTGGATTGCCAAGTGGACATGTTAGTACAAAATTATTATAAAAATAAAAAAATGTGTGTAATAATATATATGGTATCTAGCCTAAATCCCAAAAAGAGTAATGTTGGACAAGATAGAATATTGGACGAGCTAACCCAGAGAAAGAGTTAATATTAATTTCAAGTTGTTTCAATAGAACAAGGCACACACGATATGTCTATAAATCCATAAATACACCACTTGCCGGATATTTTGCGCCGGATACACCAGAACGAGTGAAAAGGCTTCGGCGTATCCGGAACGCACAAACGTAACTTAGTCACACAGCAGTGAGATTGCAGTACAATGTAGCAAAGATATAAGTTATTTTTATTCAGTACCTATTTAAATAACTCGACTAAACAATTCATAATTATATATTTATTGATTTGATCATCAATATTGCTTACAAGCAGCATCAAGTCTTCCAAACGTGAGAACAGTTAAAGTTAACAATAACTGCGCTTTCTTTTAAAAATCTTTGAATTTAAAAGGGCATCATGATTAATAACAAATTAAATATTAATTCTAAATAAATATCCGAATAAATTCCGGATAATAAATAGTCCTGTAGTGTTGCATATCATAATAATTAGTTGATATCCTACTCAAGAGTCTTAACGTTAAATTTAACACAATTAATTAGAGTCTAGGCAAACGAAGTATAGGACGTACCTCAGGCACGATGGAGTGACGATTTGCGCAAGGTAGCTGGCAGGAGCTGGATGCGAGTAGCCCAAGATCGATTTGAGTGGTGTGCATTTGGAGAGGCCTATGTCCAGCAGTGGACTAAGATAGGCTGTTGATGATGATGATGATGAGTTAGCGTTCTCCCCGTTGACGAGATGAGGTCAGATTCCTTACCGTCTTCATAATAATATAACGAAAGTCGATTCCTTTTTATTATATTTGCCAAATAAACTAAAAATCCGGCAGCAATAATCTTGTAATCGGTAAAATTCCGGAGAAAACCGGTCATATCCGGAAAACGTAGAAAGTTACTGGAGCAGGTCGCACGCTTATTGAGGATTGGTTATAACTTTATTGGTTTATAAATTAACCAATAGCAGCAGCGTTTAGCTCGGGTGGTGGGAATGTCAGCAGGCACACGATTTGTTGTTTGCTGCGCGCGAGTTCTCTCCGTTGAGCATCTTGTGTTCCAGCGCTATGCGATCTGCGTCCTTACCGTCCGCGCTTTGAAGAAGTTTGTCGTTCAGTAGAATCTGTGTCAAACAAAAACATACTATAAATATTTTTTTCATAGTATAATACACCACATAGTACAGAAGAAATAAAGTAAGACAGGTTGTAGGTACTGTAACCAGTGGCGGCGCTAGACCACATGTGGACGTCGGCGACATCAAGTTCGCGAGGCCTATTTTACTTCGCAGTAAAAAAACCGTTAAATTAAGTGAGCCAAATAATAAAATAACGTATGAGTAAACGAGATTTATTGTTGATAATCAAATGATGACAAAAAATAATTACAAAAATAGAAATTTAATTACAAAAATAGTGTTGCCAGACAGACGATTCTGAATACCTGTAAAGTACTACTCGCTTCTATCACGCACGTGTTCGAAAATAATAAAAGTCATTATCATCTGCTTAGCTTTTTCCCGAATTGTTCGGGGTCGGCTACCTAAGCCAGGCCAGGAGAAACGAAAATAAATAGGTAACTTCTAAAAATTTTTTGCGAGACCCCCTCAGGCGCGAGGCCGTCGGCGGTGGCCGACGTCGCCGACGCCTAGCGCCGCCACTGACTGTAACGTCCGTTACGTTGTTTGGGTAAACTCTTTGTTCGTGGAATGCCTACGGCTGGCAGTCATATTAAAAATTTAATGTCATAATTTTAATATTTGAAATTAAGAATCCTCTTTCTTTTGATAGAAGATTCCACATCATATATAGACTTCAGGCACCAAACCATGCGTTAATAAGATTAAGCTCATATTTTATATTCGCCTGAAATCAAATATAAAAATATCAAATCAAAGTTGTTTCAATAAATTGCTTCGCCCCCAGGATCTACCCCTTTAGGGTAGATCGTATGCGATCGTGTCCACAAGTGTATGCGGTTACAATGTAACATTTTCTTAATGGATTGTGAAACTTAAAACAAGTAGTATAAAACTCAAAATCACTCGAAGAAATTTGAAAATTTTGGGTTATTTGATCTGTGGCTGTTTGTACCTAATAATTTGTCATATTTTTCTTGTTTAAAACATTATTATTATATATTTTTTGTCTTACATCTGGCCTTAATCACATTTAAAAAAAATAGCTGACTAAAACTCGTTGCTTATTCAAAAGCAAAATACCTAACCTTATTATGCAATCTTAAAAATGCGTAGAGAACTCATCCCGTTACGGTATTTACACGTAAAAGGCTGCATTAGAATCCAGTTCTCTTAAAAAAAAATGAGACAAAAAATCGAAATGCAAATACAGGCTTGGAATGTTTAAAAAAAAATCTCAACCGAATTAATGAATACAACAAACAACACACTTTCCCAGAAGATTCTCGCTTCCCATAAAATACTCGTTTAATAGAATTGATCGAGATAAAATGGCTAGAACGACAGTTGTACACTCAGATTAAGGTTGGTCTGTTGCTCTAACGTTTTCGTTGGGTCATTATTTCCGAGATCCTACATCTTGATAACGATTTTATTAGACAGACATGTGAAATTCAAGTTTGATAGGCGCACATTACATCACCCATACATATATAATAATAAATCGTTTATTTCTAGTCACAACACAACATTTTGGCATCGACAACATTATATATATGTATTATTATATATATATATATATATATACTAGCTGACCCAGCGAACTTCGTACCGCCCTAAAAAATAGGGGTTGTCCAGCGGACAAAATTGTGAATCTAAACCATTCTCAGATCCCCTTGAACACACACAAAAAATTTCATCAAAATCGGTCCAGTCGTTTAAGAGAAGTTCAGTGACATACACACTCACAGAAGAATTATATATATAAAGATATGTATATTTCAATTGTTTCTTAGGCTTTCAAGCACATCACTCATTAAATAAAACTAGTTTTAACGGGTTAATGCACGAAACTTCATTTATTTATTGACGTTTCGCAGCCTTTTCAGGTCTGCTTCGTCAGACTTTTTTTTTATTTTTTTTTATTAGACTTTATTGTTCCGATAATGTGCTAGTTTCGTAGCAAAATATACTAGAAACGAATGGCACCTGCTTAATGTTTTCATTCTGGGGGGTCATGGGGGTTTCATTGGTTTATTTTTTCAGCGAGGGAGGGGTGGTTGCAAATGTCCCGGAATTGTTAAGCCAGCATCTGGCAACCCTAATAAGTGGGGGTGTACCGGCAACATCGGTGCCCGTACTAGAGCCTATGCGGAAAGAGAATGGGCCTGGCGAAAAACGGAACTAACATTAAGATTTTTATTTGGCAATCAAACCCAGCAATCTGTAAAACGTCAAGTTTTGTATTGATACGGATTTGTTTTTTGTTGTGATTTCTTGCGGTTTTTTGTATTTAATCATGTCTAAAAGTGGTAAAACCTTACAAATACGGTAGAAAAGCACTACAGCGCCCTCCAATCTAAATCCCATTTTTTTCCGCATAGACTCTAACGGTCTACATATGCACCCTTCAAACCTCTTTCGGTGTTCTGTGGATATTATAGTCTATTAATACAAATATCTGAGCAACAAAGCTCTAACAGACCTATCACTTAATGTGAATTAACCTCGATTTATTGAAACCGGCCATTAGGCTCCTCTTACACTACCGACCATAAACAAAAAGACAAGAAAAGCAATGTTTATAATAGGCTGCTTTATTGAAACCCCGCCCTGTTCACAAGTGTCACTAATCACACCACAAATTATGTCACAATACTTTTTTTTGTCAACAAAATAAAATAAATTAACCGGTCTGTCCGGTTGCGCAAGATGCGCAAGAGTTGAGAATTGGATGTTTTTATAGTATAAATTATTACGTGTTACAATATAAATTAACTGACTGCCGACGTTAATAGTCTAGGCAAATAGATTTATTAATTATTATGAACGCAATCTCAATAATAATTTGACAAATATTATGTTTCTTTAAAAGCGATAAATATTTCCGATGATAATATTCATTGTGTTATAATTAATGACAGTTTTTTTAGATATATTTTAGTCCGATGAAAGACACCACAGTAACACGACAATGACGTTTAGTTGTTTACTAACACATTTATTAATTTGTTATCGTCACAAGCATGGTGGACAGCATTTTGAGCGTTTAAAAAGCATAGACGAAAAACTCATTTTTGGAATTAAATTACTATAGCCATCTTCTAATTTTATGAAGTGGAATCGATGTATATAGGTTCCTCATACCAAACATTATAAGAAATAAACATTTGTATAGTGCAATTTGACATGAGTCAACAAGCCTATTAATTGTATTGAAGTAGATCCACTAGTTCCTACATCAAGCTCCTAAAATAAGAGTCCATTAAAAAATATTTACAAAACAAGTAATGATCTTAAAAATTTAGATAATCGATATTGGCGTTGTAACATATGGATTTGTAAATATTGTTACATTATTCTTAAAATGTTGTAGAGTGTTTTTCGCTCGTTTTTAGGGACGGAAAAATATTTTGGTCGATTCAAAAGAGTTTTACCTACGATGCATGCAATTAGTATAAATATATTTTCCAAGAGTAGAGAGTCCAAGCGAGGATTTTGGGATTTACCCAAGCGCGGCAGAATAACATCAGAGAGGCAACCTTGCACCTCGTTGAGTACTCTCACCAACTCTTTATATAGGTTCGAACATCTGAGGCAGCAAAAAAGCGCTTATACCCGGGAGCAACGACGCAATCAGAACCAAGTTTTGGTCGAGTAATAAGCATTTGCTTGCACATAACTGTGGCGCGAGGAGCTCCATGGCGCCAGTGGTAAGCGCGATCGGCTGCGGTCGTTGAAGTTGAGCAACTTTCGCAGTGGTCGGTCATTGGATGGGTGACCAAAAATTTACTATCTCGAGCTCCTCCGTGCTTCTGAAGGCACGTTAAGCCGTTGGTCCCGGCTGCATCTGCAGTCGTTAGCACCCAGCAATCCGCACTGGGCCCGCGTGGTGGGTCATGGCCCAATCTCCCTAATCCATCCATAGGGTAGGCCTGTGCCCCAGCAGTGGGGACATTAATAGGCTGATGATGATGATGAACTGTGGCGCACCTGCCCCACCCACAAGGCCCTTTTAACCTCTTCATGTTTTCTGTGTGTCCAATGTAGTACCTTATATTAAATGCTTACTCCATTTGTCTCATAGATGGAGCTGTATTAATTTGTACTCACGGTATGGTTTAGTTAGATTGAAATATATAAGGTTTAAATAATTTGGAAAAATATGTCTATACGTTCCGGAATCTAGTTTTATTTAATTAACTAGTGTTGGGTAGGACACGACTTGAAAAAGAGTTTGTAAGAGTAGCCTCTTTTTTGTACTGAACCAGTACAATGTCCCACTTCAAATGAGGCGAGGCGTACTGAAGCTCGGCAATACATTTGAAGTGACGAGTACAAATATGACATTGAGGCGAGACATTACGTTTGTGTGCACGAGTAGCACCTCCTCTACGCACTATCAATCTTGCTGGATCCAGCATGCAGGACAGCGCTATACACGTAAAACAGATAGAGATACAGATGGATAGTGCGTAGAGGACTTAAATGAAATGTCATGCCTCGCTCTCTCTCTCAGACTTACGAAGAGTGAGTGAGTAACGAGACGCGACTATCGCGACATTTAATGTGAAGTAGTACATTTTAAAATTTTGAGCCGCTCTTACAATTTGGCGTCATGTCCGGGACAAATGTACCGCCTCTTGTAAGTCCTACTCAACACTATAATTAACTACTGCATTCCTGACTTGGGGGACCTTAGTACACTGTGATAACTACCAAGCAACTCGCTAACAGCTAACTGTCGTCGCGTGGACAACTGGGTACCTGTTCGCGTGGACTGCGAGCAATAGCCTTGATTATAGGGCGGAGTTGGAGCAGAGTCATGCTGATGTAACGATAATCATTCAGGGATAATTGGCAACGAGACAGCTGATGAATTAACAAGAGCAGGGGCAATGGGGCAACAGATGGGACCAGAACTATGGCATCCCTAGAAACCATGCTTTGCAAATTCTGAACGACGACCATCTAAGCCCTGGGTCCCGAACCTGGGGGTAATTACCCCTCCGGGGGTAAATCAGCCATACTTCGGGGGTAACAAAGAACCTAATTATTTGGTCAAATATAAATGATACGAAAATACTATACAATAACTACTACTAAATAGAGCATGTGCTCCTTCTTGCTAGCGAGCCCGCGGGGTGCTGAGTGTGGTAAGCGGGGCGGCATTTTCTCCTAATGATGACATTATTAGAGACGAAGATGTAGCGGCCAAATTAGAATTTCTTGGACTGATGATAACATTTTAAAGTCGGGGTAAAATCTGTTTTCCTAATAGGTTACAGGGGTAGCAGTATTGGAAAGGTTAGGAAACAATGATCTAAGCGAATCGAAAAAATATTGGTTAAACCAACCAGGATTAGAGAACGCTAAATCACTTATAGAGGGTTACTCGAAAAAACAGACTGTTGAGTTAATAGAACTTAGCAGGCCGAACATTCGTGCTATCGTAAGAGCCCTAACTGGACACCGCAAACTCAACAGACACCAATTTCTTCTGAAATTGAGTGACACTGATGTTTGCAGATACTGCAATCAGGAGCGTGAAACACCGAAACACCAAAACACCTTCATGTGAATGTGGGTCTCTCATCCACAAACGTAGTATTTATTTGGGACGACGAATAATACGCCCAGAGGAAATCAAATCTCTAAAAGCTAGAAACATTTGGAGCTTCTTGAAAGCTGTCGGGATAGAAGAGATACTTAAACTTGGTGGTGAGTCACAATAGATCCCATAGGTCGCAGTGTCTACAGTCCCATTAGGACTGCATAGCCCCAGTAATCGAAATAATAATAATAATGATAGTAGAAGATCCGTACCTACATCGACCCTCACGGAGTTGATAATAGAATGAAACATATTTTTTCATTAATTTAATATATTAGAAAATATATTAAGAATGGGTTGCCTAAAAAATCCTGGACAAACTATATTTTTTAGTCCATTTTTTAAAAAATATTTTAAATTAAATGTTTAATTATTTTTTTTATTAAATAGGGTATTTAAGAAGTTATAGAAAACGATCTCACGTTATTATCTAATGTTTATAAAGTCCATAAAAAGATATTCATCATTATGTTGTGTATATCGGTAAAAAACCAAGTTGCCGCGAAAAACGTATCTCTGGACAATATGGCGTCTCACTGGTGTGTGACGTCACATGACTGTCATTAAAACGTCAAACCATACAATCAAATGTCACTTTACCCGGAAGTTTACTTGCGTGTGACGTAATTTTAGGCTCCACCAATCCCAAGCGTTTTGGGTCACGTGACAATAGACGAGAAAACTATTATCTTATTCGTGGGTTTTTAGTAAAATTATGAAATAAAATCTGTAAAAATAGTAAAAGTCCTGCCAATATTCATTCTAAATACAGATGCTAAAAATTGGCACTTTATTTTTAATACTGTCAAATACCCTTTTACCTCCATTATTATTATTACATTGTAATTAAATGTTGCAACATCAAGATAATAAGAAAATGTTGTCCTGACTTAAAGTACAAAATGTATACAATGTGCAGCCGTTGGGTAACTTAACTGGCATCGATATACCTGTTTATACCTGGCAACCCAGTAGTTTACCCAGGTAAATAATGTAAACCCCAACGGCTGCACATTTTATACGTTGCATACTGCAAGTCAGGACAACATTTTCTTATTACCTTGATTATGCAACATTTAATAGGGTATTTGACAAGTTTTAGAAAACGACCTCACGTTATTGACTAATGTTAACGGAGTCCGTAAAAAGTGGATATTCATCATTCTGTTGTGTATTTCAGTAAAAATAACCAAATCAAAAACTCCATATTCAAGTTGCCGCGAAAACGTTTCTCTGGACAATATGGCGTCTTACTAGTGTGTGATGTCACACGATTGTTATTAAACGTCAAAGATACAATGTAATGTCACTTTAACCGGTAGTTTACTTGCGTGTGACGTCATTTTAGACTCCGCCAATACCAAGCGTTTTAGGTCACGTGACAATAGATAAGAAAACTATTATCTTTTTCGTGGGTTTTTATTAATGAATATTTATTTTTGTAAAAATAGTAAAAACCCCTGCCAATATTCATTCTAAACACAGATGCTAACAATTGGCACTTTATTTTTAATACTGTCAAATACCCTACTTTTTTTTTAATTAATGAAAAATAGTCTGTCCACGATTTTTTTAAGGCAACCCACCCATTTTTAATATATTGTCTAATATACTAAATTCATGATAAAATATGTTTCATTCTATTATCAGCTCGGTCAAGGTCAATGTAGGCTCGGTCATCTTAGACTATGACGGTCTTACCTTGTTGACGAGTGACCGGGCCGCCTCCTCGATGTTAATGTTCTCCTTAGCGGAGGTCTCGAACCAGCCGGCGAATCCCTTCTCGCGGCAATACTCGTCCATTTTTGCGGGCGAGTTGACTATACCCTCCTTCTGTTGGTCGCACTGCACAAATAACAAGAGTCCAGATGAGAAGATCTCTCAACAGCCACCACTGGCCACTTTAAAGGGCAGTGAATCAGCTAAGAATCCGGGACCTCGTCTTACTTATAAAGAGACCACGCGTCTTAAGATGCAAGTCCGAGATGGGCTGGCAGATCGCAAAGTGCAAACGCCACCACTGGTTTCTATGAATCTCTATTAATGGAATGAGTATTGTCGCCTTCGGAATCAATTTCATTGAGATTCACGTGGTAACCAGTAGTGTCGCTCGCAATTTGCGGTCTGCAACCCATCTCGGACTTGTATGTTTACAATAACCCAAATAGTGAAGTTTCAGTAACTAATTTCATAATTATGAATGGTTCAGCTACTAAGCCACAACGGTAACGGATCCAGTACGGAAAGGGAGTAGATGGCGCCATGAAGTAAAAGTTATTTATTAGTTAGTTACTAGAGAACTCAACAGTGAGGATCTGGATGGCGCAAGTGGTTAGGGCGTTCGGCTTGTGATCGTTGAACTTAAACAACTTTCGCAGTGGTCGGTCATTGGATGGGTGACCAAAAATTTACTATCTCGAGCTCCTCCGTGCTTCGGAAGGCACGTTGAGCCGTTGGTCCCGGCTGCATCTGCAGTCGTTAGCACCCACCAACCCGCACTGGGCCTGCGTGGTGGGTCATGGCCCAATCTCCCTATTCCATCCATAGGGAAGGCACCCCAGCAGTGGGGACATTAATAGGCTGATGATGATGATGATGAGAGGACTCGACAGTGGTAGTCCTGTCCAGTAAAATATAAAAAATAACTAAAAAAAGAGACTGCCGCACTTATCGAGAGAAACTGAAAGTTTTCTTAATATTTCTGTTTTTCTACTCAATTTTGTTTTCGTAAAAAAATAAACAAGTATTAGATAACTTAAAAAAAGATGAATTACTTAAATAAAGTCATTCTCAAGTTGTGGCGTGACTTACGTAAGTATGCATTCATTTTGATATTTTCTATTACTATAGAACTTAAATACCTAAGTGGAAGAATTTTGTTGCTTATCTATATTTACATTGTATGTACTACTGCATGTTTGTTCAATGTATCATCTTTTACTAGTAAACAAATACAAACGTTTTTATCATTAAACACATTCTTAAGTGCGAAATTTAGATACCTAATGGAAATTCCACTTGGAGCACCAGACCACAACACTACAGAAAAAATACATCATTTTGGTGGCATTACGTTTCTCATCATTAGCCTATTAATGTCCCTACTGCTGGGGCACAGGCTTTTCCTATGGATGGAATAGGAAGATTGGGCCATGACCCACCACGCGGGCCCAGTGGAGATTGGTGCGTGCTAACGACCGCAGATGCCGAGACCAACGGCTTAACGTGCCTTCCGAAGCACGGAGGAGCTCGAGATAGTTAATTTTTGGTCACCCATACAATGACCGACTTCTGCGAAAGTTGCTTAGCTTCAACGATCGCAGCCGAAAGCGCTAAACACTTGCGCCATCGAGTTCTCCAACCGTTTCTACCGGTGATTAACATTTCAGGGCACCATGGGTACAGTAGGCAAAGACACGAGTATAATAAGTATCACAAGCATCTACATATTAATGTATAGGCTACAGCGGACGCTTACATCGAGTGAGCCATATTGGATGGGTGACCAAAAATCTTCTATTTCGAGTTCCTCCGTGCTTCGGAAGGCACGTTAAGCCGTTGATCCCAGCTGCATCTGCAGTCGTTAGCACAATCCGCATAGGGCCCGCGTGGTGGGTCATGGCACAATCTCCCTATTCCATCTATAGGGAAGGCCTGTGCCCCAGCAGTAGAGACATTAATAGGCTGAGGCTGATGATGTATGTCCCGTTCTCCTACCAGTGGGCGGGACACATAGTAAGGTAAACCGATGGCCGTTGGAACGGAAAGTTTCTCGAGTGGCAAACACACTGGACGACGCTCAGGTCTATCGAAGGTCGTGGGAAAAAAGAAGCCACTGGATGCGAACCAGGGCTTGTTTACCGGTTAATTTTCAAACCTTAATCAGTATCAAGTACATTAGGAGCGTTTTATCAAAGTTTAGCTTTACCTTAACCTTAAAAAAACCGGTTTTCCTAAAAAGCGAAATCAAATAGGTTTTGAATCAATTTAGCGGTTTTTAATGGGTTTCATTTCGCTTTTACTGACGGCATCGCCTTCGCCGTTTCAATTCAAATTTATAATGATTTTATGTCAGTTTCTTTCCAACTACAGAGCGAGTGAGTGAAGTAGTGTATCAGTACACAACTACAAAATGAATACTTGACTCACTAGACGCTAGCAAACGTATCAATAAATGCATCAATCTCTGAGCATTAACAAGTTGTGACTTGATTAGTTCAAAAAAGACAAACTTCAAGCGATGCCGACGCGTGCACGTGTCGCTCTGGATTAAACCGGTTTATTAAGGTTTTAGGTACCGCTTTCATTTGGGACGCGCTCCGAACGAAACCTTTACTAAAAACCGGTATTAAAGTTTATTTTCCAGTATTTTCGAAACCGGTTACAAGCCCTGATGCGGACAGCTCAGCACCGATTAACGTGGAGATCTTTAGAGGAAAGATACTCAGTGGGCGTCGTTTTGTTGAATGATGTTGTGTGTACCTTATTAGCCAACAGTATGCACGGTATGGGTGACCCGTCGGGCAGCTGGACCTTCGTGTCTAAGTCGTTCTTCCATTTAACCACAGCTTCGAAGGTCGCTGCCCTCGACACGTCGAACACTATGAACGCGCCCACTGCTTCTTTGTAGTACACTCGGGTCATGTTTCCGAAACGCTCCTGGCCTGTTAAAAATAATGATTAAATATATAGAGAAACTGGTGGATGGAAATGCTGCATTTGAAAGCGGAGATTTAGTAGAGGCCAGATGAGAAGTGGCAATGGGCAGGCCACATCGCTCGAGGATCTGACAACCGTTGGGTAAGAAAGATCCTCGAGTGGCGACCACGTACCGGACGACGCAGCGTGGGGCGGCCCCCAACAAGGTGGACTGACGATATCGTCAAATATGCTGGGAGCCGCTGGATGCGGATAGCGCAGGACCGCGCATTGTGGCGTTCTATGGGGGAGGCCTATGTCCAGCAGTGGACGGAGAAAGGCTGATGGATGGATGGATGGAGATGAGAAGATCTCTCAACAGCGACCACTGGTGGCATTAAAGGGCAGTGAAACTGGTTAACAGTCCGGAAGCCTTAGCCTTATATTTTTTACAGAGATCTCGCGTTTTAAGACAAGTCCGAGATGGGCTGGCAGATCGCAAACTGCAAGTGACACCACTTGTTTCTATGAATCTCTTCTTTGGAAACGCTGCAAGCTGCAGTATTGTCGCGTTCGGAATCAATTTCATTGAAATTCATTGAATCCTGTGGTGTCGCTTGCAATTTGCGGTCTGCAGTCTGCACCCCATCTCGGACTTGTATCTTTACAATAACCCAAATAGTGAAGTTTCAATGCAATTAAAAGTCAACGAAAAACACACGGACATCTGTTACTGTACTGATGGCAATATGGTCGATTTTTAGGAAACGATTGAATGAATCATTTCAGAAATCGTTTTTGAAGCACAAAGCTAAGTAGTCAGGGTTTCCCAAAATATATACCTGGCCTTAATCCCTATTTCCTTACACCTAAGAGCTCTGGCAACCTTAACACTGTTTCAGACTCCAAAAATCAAGAGGTTCATTTCTGGGATGTAGTATTGCATTGTTTAACAAAGTTCCCCAAGATCTGATTGAGCTTCCACTTACCAAATTTAAATCTCAGATCAAGAATACTCTTATAAATAAGGGCTTATTATAAAGTTAATGATTATCTAAATGATCGTAATGCATGGACATAGTGTTTCTTGTAATTTGTTATTTATCTCATGCCGCTTCCTATATACTAAATATAAAGTTTATTGTAACTATATATATCTATATCCTAAATGATGTAATGGAAGGTGACTTCAAAAGTATCTCTGAAGTCATTTTCAACTTGACGACTCTGTATATATCAATACAGGGAGAAAAAAGCAGCCCTTGCTGAGTTTCTTGCCGGTTCTTCTCAGTACAAGGTCTCCCGCCGTAGTTTTGCGAACCGATGGCGTAGCTTCTGACCTTCATAAGTGCTTGTAACAGCCTAGACTGAATAAATGACTTTTCATTTCATTTCATTTCACTGCAGGACAAGAATACAGGACTACAAGATAGTGAGATACTGTCTTCTGTAATCATTATCACATCTATCTATACTCACTTTACTGGCCTAAGCCGTCTTTTCATAAAAAAATCATAGGTACATGAAAAAAGTTACCCAAGTTAATTTGAATAAATAAACTGTGATAACACCGGCACTTAAAGTTGTAACATAAATATCATCATGAAGAAAGACAATAAGAAAACTATTGTCACTAAACCGAAAATTCTCAACATTGTCACACTTAGATCGTCCATCATTTTTGAAACGTGAAATCAATATAACAATTTAAATCATTTAGCAATTGAGTGCACCGTTTCATCCAACCTTTGTTTATCAGGTAATTGACATAACGTCATATACTTTCTTTAGTTTTATTTTTTTTTCCAGTAGAAATTAATCTAAATACCAAAGAGCATTTACTAAACTCCGCAAAATATGGTCTTGAGAGGAAGGAATTTTGGTGGATACTCTTATTAAACATGGTTTAAATGATACTCAGCTTAACCAATATGGAAACAATCTTCAAAACTTTTAAATTACCTATTAAGTCGCAAGCTCCTAACAAAATTTCACTAGTTTCAATAAATAATTCTGTCCTATCTAAACTAAGAGCTTTATGGGCCGCGCAGACGAGGGACTGTTTTCTTCGCCAAAATAGATCGCTTACAGCTTCATCAAGTGACGCACACGACAGATTAAAAGTACCGCTTACAAAAAGTCCCAAACAACCGAGGACACTTAGGCCCGTATTACAGAATGACAACTAAGTGTTGATCTTTACTTGAGTACAGTTAGAAAGGGATGTCGCTATGCGCTATATATAGCGACATCCCTTTCTAACTATGCTCAAGACTAGATTAATCACTGAGAATCTTTCTATAATACGGGCCTTAGAGACCGGACTGGACAAAAGTACGCGGGTGTCCGCGACAAAAGAACTTCAGTCCGCGTTGCGCGCTAGATCCGATTTAAAGGGATTGACCCAGTATTTTCTTTTAAAAGTCTTATTTTTTTCTTAAACCTATTATTAAGCATATATATATATATATTTAAATAAATTGTCGGTCCCCAAATTTAGGCTCTGTAAAAGCAACAAACTTATCTAGGCCGTAGTGTTACCTACCTTTCATAACAAAATACCTGACGATGTCGTTGGCCTGACAGACAATAAGTTTAAAAACAGTATTAATTAGTAAGGCCTATTCCAAAGTTGACTTTGCGCTAGCAATGCACCGGTTATTATGTTATTTAATATAGGTACCCATTCATATGCATTGTTTATTATTATCATTTATAAAATAAAATTTTTGTTTGTATATTCATATATACAAACATGACGTCATGTCATAAGTGCCTGTAAAGGCTTATGTTAAAAAAATATTTTCTGATTCCGATTTTAAGTACAACACGACGAAATCTCAGAACAATTTTCTTCCATAGCGTGCGTTTCTCTAAATTTCCGGTCCACAAATCGTATGATTCGGAAAAAAGTCCCTCGTCTGCGCAGGCCATTGAGATCACTAAACGCTTACATACCAGCGATATCCCATAGCTGCAACCGGATGATTGTGTTCGCGTCCCAATTGAGCACTTTAAGCGCAAAGTCCACGCCGATGGTGGCCCTGTAGTGTTGACTGAAGAACTGGTGAACGTAGCGCTTGATGATGGAGGTCTTGCCCGTGCCCAATTCTCCGATCACCAGGATCTTGTACAAGTGTTCCCGACGCTCCCCGCTCGGGGACGAGTTGGACTGGAAAGAAAAGCCACTATTAGGTGAAGAAATCCTTGAATTATAATTACTTAACGCATTATAAGGTTATGCATGCTTTGCTCTTGGAAGGCCGAGCTAATCAATATCCATTTAATACGATCAAAACATATAAAATAGCTAAATAAATCCATATCTTTATATATATAATTCTTCTGTGAGTGTGTATGTCACTGAACTTCTCTTAAACAACTGGACCGATTTTGATGAAATTTTTTGTGTGTGTTCAAGGGGATCTGAGAATGGTTTAGATTCACAATTTTGTCCGCTGGACAACCCCTATTTTTTTAGGGCGGTACGAAGTTCGCTGGGTCAGCTAGTCTATCTTTATATATATAATTCTTCTGTGAGTGTGTATGTCACTGAACTTCTCTTAAACGACTGGACCGATTTTGATGAAATTTTTTGTGTGTGTTCAAGGGGATCTGAGAATGGTTTAGATTCACAATTTTGTCCGCTGGACAACCCCTATTCTTTTAGGGCGGTACGAAGTTCGCTGGGTCAGCTAGTATTATATAAAACTCAAAGGTGACTGACTGACATAGTGATCTATCAACGCACAGCCCAAACCACTGGACGGATCGGGCTGAAATTTGGCATGCAGGCAGATGTTATGACGTAGGCATCCGCTAAGAAAGGATTTTGTTCAATTCTACCCCCAAGGGGATAAAATAGGGAATGAAAGTTAGTATGAAACTTTATCAATTTTAAACCGATAGGGCTGAGACTTTGCTTGCAGGTATAAGAAGAATCATAGATGAATATCATTGTATATAATACAAGCCTGAGAACAAAAACTGTAGTCTACACTTCAGCTCTACACCGAAGCGAAGCGAGGGCGGGCCGCTAGTAAATAATAAATAGCTAAATAGCTTCCTCAAAGTACGACGTCGACTGCCAAAAAAGAAATTTAATGTTTTCAGGGTTCTCCATCGAGTGTCCAAAGGTAATATTTTATTTTTAAAAGTGAAGCAAGTTATTTCATGACTTTTTACCAAAGCAAAGTCTTTTTATTTCCCCATGAAGGTTAACTATAACCACACATAGAGTAAAATGTAACTTAAATGTTTAACAAAACAGCTGACTCCGTTGTTTCATACATAGTTAAATTTGTCTATATAGTACAGTCAATCTGTCGAAAAAAATATCGTTTCAGTGAAAAAAAAACCTAAAGGGTAAGTCTTGTTTTTTCTGTTGCCAAATGACGTCAGTAAGCCACCTTGGCGATGGGCATGTTCAACTCGTAGGCGTTTTTTGAAAAACTCAAAAAAACCGTCAAAAATTTTTTGAAACGCATTTTTCTTCTTTTGTATGCATTTTAGAAACTTTTTTTTCGACCATAATTGTAGAGGGCGTTGAGTGCTACAATTTATGTCATAGTTGCAATCTGGTACAACAAAAAATGCGCATTGTAAGTGGCGCTAAAGTCTGAAAAAAGTGTTTTTTCACTTTTTCACCCTGAAAATATCATTTTAATGGAAATCTTTAAATGGCGAAGTTGTTTCGTACATAATTACCAACAACTTTTGTGTAAACAATTTTTTTGTATTACTTACCGTTTTCAAGTTATAAATTGCGCAGGTATGAAAAATCCAATAGAGCGGTTTTGGGCAGTTCAAGTACACATTTGCAGTGTACATTTCAATGTACGTTTTACTATTTTTTATTTTTTTTCATGATTGAAAAACAAAAAAAAAATTAAAAAAAATAGTTTTCTTTTTATTTTTTTTCATGATTGAAAAAAAAATAGTAAAAACCTACATTGAAATGTGCACTGCAAATGTGTACTTGAACTGCCCAAAACCGCTCTATTGGATTTTTCATACCTTCGCAATTTATAACTTGAAAAAGGTAAGTAATACAAAAAAATTGTTTACACAAAAGTTGTTGGTAATTATGTACGAAACAACTTCGCCATTTAAAGTTTTCCATTAAAATGATATTTTCAGGGTGAAAAAGTGAAAAAACACTTATTTTCAGACTTTAGCGCCACCTACAATGCGCATTTTTTGTTGTACCAGATTGCAACTATGACATAAATTGTAGCACTCAACGCCCTCTACAATTATGGTCGAAAAAAAAGTTTCTAAAATGCATAAAAAACAAGAAAAATGCGTTTCAAAAAATTTTTGACGGTTTTTTTGAGTTTTTCAAAAAACGCCTACGAGTTGAACATGCCCATCGCCAAGGTGGCTTACTGACGTCATTTGGCAACAGAAAAACCAAGACTTACCCTTTAGGTTTTTTTTTTCACGACTCAACCTACAGATTGACTGTACTAATAGTGAATGCCACGTCAAATGCATAGTAAATGTGTAAAACTTTTAACAATAAATAAATATTTCCTACACTCACACCAATTAGCCTAGCCCCAAAGTAAGCACTGTAAGGCTTGTGTTATGGGATACTAGGGTAACGGATAGAATACATATACTGATACATATATAGGTACATTTATATAGAAATACATATTAAACATCCATGACTGGAGTACAAATGCTCAAATTCATCACACAAACATCTGCCCCCACTGGGATTCGAACCCGGGACATCTCAAGTAGGCGACGCGTGTACTAACCACTCGGCCACGGAGGTCGTCAAACTAAAAATAAATATCCAACTAACTTGATGAGTTTTGATATGGAGATAGAAAAAATGATACCTGAAGAGGTTCACGAAATAAGAGATGGAATAGAATTTGAATAGAATTTGAATAGAAAATCGATTATGTCAGGCATAATTTTTAAGAATTGCACTATGGTGTTTTTGATGGAAGTAAATAAATTGCTATTTTTATTTTTTTAAGCATTTAACTGCTAGATGTTTAATACTAAAGAAAAGTTTTACTAGAAAAATCCACGCGGGCCAGGCAGCGGACTGGACTCGAATCCGCACCCTTCGCAATCCGGGCGAATACACTGACCAATTATGCTACCACGGCCCTGATGGTCGTGTCGAAATTTTCCTAGCCTCAAGGCGCTGCCTTGCAGCTTAAAGCTAAGAAAATTATTATTATTATTCTATGCAAACGTAGGCATCACTCATTGTTGAAATGAAACTATAAACGTAGGTACAAGAACTTGGTTCGCAAAATTATTGCAAGGAAGCAGAACCATAGATCTAATGGCCGATTAGAAGCAAATTGAAGTCAATTAATAAGTCGTAGCCAATGCGGCTGCACATCCTCTAGTTGAATATAAAGCTTAGTCTACGACAAATATAATACTTCGTTCGTCATTAGAGCAAAGCCGACTCTGTTAGCCATCTATATATATTAAACTCAAAGGTGACTGACTGACTGACATAGTGATCTATCAACGCACAGCCCAAACCACTGGACGGATCGGGCTGAAATTTGGCATGCAGGTAGATGTTATGACGTAGGCATCCGCTAAGAAAGGAATTTGATCAATTCTACCCCCAAGGGGATAAAATAGGGAATGAAAGTTTGTATGAAACTTTGTGATTTTAAACCGATCGGGCTGAGACTTTGCATGCAGGTATATAAGAAGAATCATAGATGAATGTCATTGTGTATAATACAAGCCTGAGAACAAAATCTGTAGTATACACTCAGCTCTATACCGAAGCGAAGCGAGGGCGGGCCGCTAGTTTATTAATAAATGAAGAATGACAAGTTACGCAGGGTGTTCTCTGTTCAGTAAATTCATCATCAGCTTATTAATGTCCCCACTGCTGGGGCACAGGCCTTCCCTATGGATGGAATAGGGAGATTAGGCCATGACCCACAACGCGGGCCCAGTGCGGATTGGTGGGTGCTAACGACTGCAGATGCAGTCGGGACAAACGGCTTAACGTACCTTCCGAAGCATGGAGGAGCTCGCAAAATTTTGGTCACCCATCCAATGACCGACCACTGCGAAAGTTGCTTAACTTCAACTTGCGCCATCGAGCTCCTCAGTAATTTAATAAAGTCCTTTAAGTGATTTAAACAAAACATTCGTATTTTCCTCTGTTGAGCTCCTTGGTGAGTTTTGCCTAAAGGAATTCAGTATGTCTTGTTCGCCCTCCGAGTAATATAAAAAGCACAGCGTAACTATTACGTGTTTATTCTTTACTAGCTGTGCCCCGCGGTTTTACCCGTGGTATTATATTTTCCCGCAGTAAAACGTCCAAAAGCCTATGTGTTAATCCAGGGTGTCAGCTAATTCCATACCAAATTTTATTAAAATCGCTCCAGCCGTTCAGACGTGAAGAAGTAACAAACATACACACTCAGAAACTTTCGCCTTTATATGTGTACTAGTTGTGTACCGCGGTGTTACCCGCGGCTTATTAGGGATATTTTCCCGCAGTAAAACGTAGCCTATGTGTTAATCCAGAATGTCAGCTAACTCCATACCAAATTTTATTAAAATCGCTCCAGCCGTTAAGACGTGAAGAAGTAACAAACATACACACTCACAAACTTTCGCCTTTATAATATTGGTGTGATTTTTTAATGGATTTATAATGGGTTAGTGATTTATTATAGTTAAATTACTCATTGCATTCTTTCGCAGTCCAATACTTTTTGATAATCTACCTGATAGATAAAGAAAACAGAGCCATCGTCTCTATTTGTAGAGTCTGTGCGGAAAGAGAATGGGATTTGGATTTGAGGGCGCTGTAGTGCTTTTCTACCGTATTTGTAAGGTTTTACCCCTTTTAGACATGATCAAATACAAAAAACCGCAAGAAATTACAACAACAAACAAATCCGTATCAATACAAAACTTTGACGTTTGACAGATGGCTGGGTTAAATCTAATATATAAAATTCTCCTCTATATATAAAATTCTCGTGTCGCGGTGTTTGTGGTTAAACTCCTCCGAAACGGCTTTCCCGATTCTCATGAAATTTTGTGTGCATATTGGGTAGGTCTGAGAATCGGAAATCTATTTTTCATCCCCCTAAATGTTAAGGGTAATCCACCCCTAATTTTTTTTATGATACATTAAACAAAAATACATGCAACCCT